GGAATAACAAAATATGATTAATTTTGATTTTTCTTAGTGTATTTCGTTTGTAAATTGATTGTGATTCATTGTGGGTCTATTTTTAACATTTATGACAAATTAACTCTTTTGTAATTAGCAATTTTATTTCAATCATGATGTGAGCTGAAACATTTTAGTAATTTCTTATAATAAACAGATTTTGTGACAACTGATAACTGTATTTGATTGGAAATCGCTTGTGATTTACAAATATATCATTCACATTGTTTGTATGTGAATAATTTCTTAATTATTTACAAGTTTGTTTTGTAATAAATAATTGTAGTGCCCATGCGCTACAGATCCTGTCGTACCCATCACTACCTCGAACAACTGAGTTTCATGATTTGTTCGTTTTTCGTTCTTATATTTCGCTAGGTGCTACGGGGTCTCTGACACCCCAGGATAATATCAGGTCCGTATGAAGAGGGCACAAGCAGTAAAATTTTTTTCCAGAGTTTATTCAATTTATTTCATTTATTTTTAGTTGCTTATTAAATAAGCATATCGAAGGGGAATAACATGTATGATTACATCCCTCTTCTGAGTCTTAGCCAAGGACCGAATTAATTTTACTTTTTCCAGTTATTTATATAGTTTTATCCCTTACTATAGGCCAAGGGCATCTCAGTATCCCTTACATACTTGCATTTCTTCCATCCCAGCATTCCTTACATTCCTGCAACACTTGATCACCCTTTTTTTTTTTTTTTTTTTTTTTTTTAACGTGGTGGAAATCTTCAGAAAGACACCTCCAGCCCCCCTGGGGAGGGGCCGGAGGTAGTGTGGGATTTTTACCCACTAAAACCACCACGGCGGCCTGCACTAGGGCAGCAGGGAGGGTCCTTTAACCCTCCGCCATGTGCCAAACTCCGCCGACATCGGGGGCCACACCCGATGCCGGCACCCATCGGACCGCGTGCAGTGGTGACCGGGGCCCCAGCCCCGAACCCCTACGGCATTCCTTTATATCTCTGCATCGCTTACATCCCTACATTCCTTACATATCTTCAACCCTTAAATCCCTACATTCTTTCCATTCATACATTCTTTTCATCCCTGCACCCTTTTCATCCGTACACTCTTTTCGCCCCTACATTCTTTTCATCCCTACATTGTTTTCATCCCTACATTCCTTACATCGCTTCATCCCTTACATCCCTACATTGTTTTCATCCCTACTACATTCCTTACATCGTTTCATCCCTTACATCCCTACATTCTTTTCATCCCTATATTCCTTACATCTCTGCATCCCTTATAATAAATATATTATAAAGACTGTTTCGAGTGAAGGTAAGTAAATTCCCTTTTTCGCCGACAGAGGGCGCTGATTCGTCATCGAAATTTTAGTTCACATTTTTACCGCCAGAGGGCCAGAAATGGAACATGGTTTAGTTCCCTTTTTCGCCACCAGAGGGCGCTGATTCGACATCGAAATTTTAGTTCACATTTTTGCCGCCAGAGGGCCAAAAATGGAGCAAGGTTTAGTTCCTTTTTTCCTCACCAGAGGGCGCTGATCGAACATCGAAATTTTAGTTCAAATTTTTGCCGTTAGGGGGCGCTGTTTTTCGAAATTTTTGCGAAATTCTCGGGAAAAAGCGCCCCCTAGCGGCAAAAATGTGAACTAAAATCTCGATGTTCGATCAGCGCCCTCTGGTGGGGAAAAAAGGAACTAAACCTTGCTCCATTTTTGGCCCTCTGGCGGCAAAAATGTGAACTAAAATTTCGATGTCGAATCAGCGCCCTCTGGTGGCGAAAAAAGGAACTAAATTTGTATAAAATCGCAGGCCTTATAGCCGCAAAAATTTCAACTCAATTTCAGGGAGGTGCTGGGATGTATGGAATGCAGGAATATAAGTGATACAAGGATGTAAAGGATACAGGCATGTAAGGGATGCAGGGATGTAAGGGATGCAGAGATGTAAGGGATGCAGGGATGTAAGGGATGCAGAGATGTAAGGGATGCAGGGATGTAAGGGATGCAGAGATGTAAGGGATGCAGAGATGTAAGGGATGAAGAGATGTAAGGGATAAAGATATGTAAGGAATGTAGGGATATAAGGGATGAAGCAATGTAAGGAATGTAGGGCTGAAAAGAATGCAGAGATGTAAATGATGTAGGGATGTAAAGAAGAGGAGGATCTGTAGCGGGGTCGCAGAGTCGTAGGAGACCGGGACTGGGGCCCCGGTCTCCACTGCACGCGGCCCGAGGAGTGCTGGCATCGGGTGTGGTCCCCGATGTCGGCGGAGTTTGGCACATGGTAATGCCAGTGCACCAGTGTTGGGGAGGGCCCCGAGGCCCTCCCTATAGCCCCAGTGCAGGCCACCGTGGTGGTTTTAGTGGGTAAAAATCCCACACTACCCCCGGCCCCTCCCCAGGGGGGCTGGAGGTGTCTTTCTGAAGATTTCCACCACGTAAAAAAAAAAAAAAAAAAAAAAAAAGGGTTGTAAGTACAAGGATGTAGCCGAGAGATGGCAGCCGAGTGACTGCCGGCAATCTCTCCTTCGTAAAATCATGCCCTACAACTTCGTAAGAATAAATTACTAGTAGTATGTTACTTTATTTTAATAAAATGTAGCAGTTAGAAATAAGATTTTAACAATAATTATTCCACTTTTAATTATATGAATACTATACAATCAAGATTTATCAAATAAATTGTAAATCGTACTGCAGAAAATAAGAATAATTAACTGTAAATTTTTAATAATAACTTCTAAAATTGTAAGAAATAAAATATTTTGTAAGAAATTTGAATAATTAAACCAATTTCCAAATACATTGAAAGATTTTTTAAAGAACTAACAATAAGTATAGAACTGCATTACGTAATAGTAGGGGGAAGTACCGTGAATTGTGCATGGTACTTGGGGAGTTCCCTAAATTAAGCGGCGCATTGTTCTGATTCAATGCCGAGTATAAATAGGAGGCGCAAGAAGTTATTCGCCATAATTATTTCGTTGCAATTCGACGTGGCAGTACACGAGAACTCATCAAAACTCAATCGTAAGTTAAATTTTTAAATAATTAATTGAAATAATTGATATGTTTTCCATTATTTTTATAAATGTTTTTGCGAAACATTTTCAAGATATGTTTATATTCACATTACATGATGCTCGTGTATTTTTTGTAGATTGTATACTATTGTTTTTTAATTTTTCCAATTATAGATAGTAAACTGGTAAAGAATTGTTAAAACTTCGTTAAAGAGGACAGAATTTAAAACAATTATTTACGCGTATATTTTTATAACGTAATTTACTAATCGACGCAATCATTGCGTTTCATAAAACGCATTTTAATTTTAGTCAAGAAGCAATTTCTGAAATTTAAATAATCTACTCTATTTATTCGATATCACCTAACGTTGATTCAAATTAACTTTTTTGTATTAGAAAAATAGAAAATCAAATATCTTAACAATAATTGATTGCTCTTTAAATAATCATGTATGTACGTACGCCTATCGTGAAAATTCTGCAATATAATTTTATTCATATTTTACAATGTTTTTTTATTTTTCTAGATGAATAATGCTGCTAAAGCAAACAGGGCAAATCAATGTAATTCTGATCATCCGCGATCGGGTCCAGGCCATCAAGCTGGTTACCATGGTGCTGGAACTAAAGCGGATTTGGACAATCACAGCAGGCAAAAGAACCAGCAGGACCCAAAATTCCGCAAATAAATTATATACGTTCCACATGAAAAGTGTAATTTTTATATAAACACATGTACTTGCATTAGTGATGGTATAATATAGAATGCATTGATAAAATATCTAAAATTTTTAGACCTTTTATGAATTCCTCTCCGATCCTAAAATCCATGAAAGACATCCTTCAACAGGATTATATAAAATTAACATTTAACCAATTTATTTAATTGAATATAAATTTGTTAGCAATAACGAACTTTTACGATTCTATAACATTTTTTTTCACATACATAAACAATTTTTATTCAATATTCTGTATCCAATTTGGATGGCTGTTTTATCCAAAATCCCCAAGTAGTGAATTTTTCTCCATTTTGCTCTTCGCTTGGCGCTCGAAAGACTTTTATCTTTACCCGAGGCACCTCGTCTAAAAATACATACAAATCTATTGAATAAGGAATAAATAAATTACTTTAATATTAATAAGTATATTTTCCTTAAAATTGTTTAATTATTTCATACAAGTTTAACTTTGTAAAAATTAATTTAAACAAATTCACCACTTATATTACTTTTAATCTACAATTGCGTTTACATTATAAGTTACCATTTTTTATGGTGACATCATGAACGAATATTTTTCCAACACCAGCTTCTGCTTTTGAAAATATTATCAAAGTCAAATGGTAAAGTAAGTAAGTAATTATCTGAAATAAAATACACGTTTAATAAATAGCAACGCGAAATAAAATGGGACCAATATTTTCGGACTTACCATGAAGTTCATTGTTCACTATTAGATCTACAAAGTGACGTTTTCTATAGCCACGAACCTTTTATGTATTGGCAGGAAAGTATTTAGAGCATAACCGATCTGAATATTTGCGGTTTCCAGATACTTGCTTTCATAGTGAAAGTCATATTTTTCTTCTTAAAAGTAAAAGTTAAAATAAAGAGAAAGGACTTGGACCATCTTGTCAAAAAATTCTAATCACGCCAATCCTTAGAAGTATCTGGCGAAAAGAAATGGCACTTACATAAAATTTTGATAATGTATTTTTCATCTTTCATAATCTATACACATATATAAATTCTATATTATACATACATGTTTATACAATTTATATATATGTATGTGGAAGCCCATTTTTATATTTAACTACAACATTAATGAGGTTGTTCTTGAGATTCCACGAAAGCTTTCGCAATTCCGTGAAAGCGCTTCAAATAATCTACAATTCAACTAATCTAATCTAATAATTTTTGTAAAATCAGATATGTTATAATTAATGAAAATCACACATAAACCATAAATTATTATATAACAATTGTCCTATTAATTATTTCGCAAATTTTTATACAATGTTCTTGTTTAATTAAATTGATGAATCAATTCCATCCAACGCGTTCAATTACCATACATATTCTATTTATTTCTTCAACGGCAATTATTTCATTATTTGCCTTTGATTTCTTCATTTTTAATCACTTATACATTAACATTCTTTTTCAAAGTAGTACCTTCTGCCATGCAGTTTAATATTATTTAAACACTTTACCTTCTATACTCTAAAATAAATTTGTCCAATACCGGGAAGATTCTCTCTCAGGATTTTAATTAAATTTTTATGAATGCATTTTTTATTCACACCATCGTAGCTACTTTTCCTTTGGTCGACAATTGTGATGAAAGCTGTTTCGTATGCGTCTCACACGAGAGAGACACTATGTACAATATTGTTTATTTAAAGAGAACAAGGCAATATTATGTTTAATTTATTGTTCGTCTACGTTGATGGTGTCAAAGGAGAGAAAACGATCTTTTAAAAATAAAATGATAAAACTGGTTCAAATGATCAATGAATGACTTATACGTTAAATTTGACCATAGCCTTAACAATTAACGCTTAACTCCTACAACTCTCAATATAACGTTTAATATCATTGACAAAGATTTCCTTCGATCAATAGATCGTATTACATTAATTATTATCATTATTATCATTCTGGAAGACATCATTGGAAGACTCGTTTCATAAATATTATCGTATCTCATTTAAATAACACATTTTAGATAAACTGCGAGATGTTCTTCGGTTTTTTTAAAATACAAAATTATAGATATCATATTAAAACGCAAAATATAAAATTGCTAATATCGTTAAAAGACACTAATATATTATTTTTAAAGATACGTTAAAGCTAGTCAATTTTTATATTTCATATTATTTTCCATGTGTAGTTCATAAAAATTATTCTTTTAACTTTAGATTGATATCCTTGTATATGTTTTGTAAGTTTGGGTTACGATTGACCAAAGCTCCATTGTTCAAGAGTTAATCTAACATTTCGATCATCTAGTTACACGAAATTGACGCTTATCTTGGTCACAAAACACTTTAATATGTAAATAATTCCACGTATTCAATCCGACACAATTGATAAAGGAATTCCGCACTCTTTATCATCATTTCAATCACACCCCATACTTTCAATAATAATCGAACAGTCACTAGATTAAATAAGGTAATGTATAAACTAAAACGTGGCATCGAAATGAAAAATAATCGAATTTGAAGAACATCTCGCTGAACTTCTGTCAAACCTACTACAATGGACTACAATTCATATTGCTTAAACTAGCGTGTGTGATCTATGCGGCCTATAAAGGCCTCGGAAGACGTTTGATTATAATGAACTAATTAATTGTACTCGTTCGTACATAACTGGTTACATATTTGCATTCACTTGCACGACGAGGAGACGTTAGAAATATATATTATTACGCGCTGGCAGCTAATCATTCTGAAATAATCATAAGAAAAGTGGTTGTGGTATTACTAAAATATTTGGGACAACTGGGAGATGTGATAAATTTTTGGAAATGTTGCAAATAGAAGTAATTAACATCTCTCGTTGCATAAAATTACAATTTTGGGATTTTGGAATTTTAGAATGTTGAAATCTTAATATACTAAAGGAGTCCACATTTTTTGGAATTCATAATTTTGGCCTCTTCCTAATTACACCAACACCTGTTGCATCCCTCCATCCCCAAAACTTTCCACTAATATGTACATCACATCTCCCAATGGACATTGTCCCAAATACCTCGATACGCCAAAAATTGTTACTCTTCATTGTTAAAGATCGTTCGGTTACCTAAACTTGTTTACTGAACGCCTCCTCGGCGGGGCGGGTAATTCAACGTGTAAATAGAAATTACAAGATCCGCAATGACGATTATAAAATCCCGAAACCTGTGTAACAGTATTTAGTTAACTTGTACGTACAATATTCACCGTGTTTCGCTTGTACACGCAACATTTGCTTGGAAGACATCGATCACTTACCGTCTAGCGAGATATTATTATTGTTTGCTGCTTGCTAAATATATCTAAATGTTTTTCTTTTTCTAAAAAGCCCCTGTTGTCGACGATCATCGTCAGAAGAAAAAAAAAATAGAATTAAGATCTGGAAGACGTAGGACACGAAGCCGAGATTGCTGAAGAATAGATACATTTGCTCGTTCTACGACGCTCTTCGTCTTAAATATATCATTTAGCTAGATATGTGTGAGTTCTGGTTGAATTATAAATGTACAATCTCAAAATTCTTCTTTTTGTGTCTACTTGAACGAGCGAAAACTTGTATATAATAATGTCTCTAAGCGACGAGACGAAAAATCGTAAACTTTGTACGATTGATTTTAAAAATTGTCGAAATCAGCAAAAATATAGACTTTTCTTTGTAATTCTCTCAAGGGAATGTTAGATTGCAGTGCAGCCGCTAAAAGCGGTACAATATTTGTACCATGTGATCCGGAAGTGATAGGTGCGCGATGGGGTTGTGCCAGGTCGTTAGAATCTCAATGAGTCCACTGTTTGAAATCGTTTGATCTAACGTAAGTCAATTGACGCGAGCTGCAATTCGATGGTTCCCTTGAGCAGTGTATATCTACAAGATATTATCATTATGGAAGACAAACGAAGATCGAAGGAGGCAAAGGTACGCGTTTGATCGTTTAAAACGGTAAACCGATCTCGAAGGCGTTTATCAGGGCAGAGCCGGAATCGTAGACACCGATAACACCGAACAGAACTCCCAGAAAGATAACGAAGCAATCGTAAGCCACCGCGCTCCATTCCATCGAATTTCTTTTTAATTTCAAGTGAAAATAACACGGCCATATGAACGACAGCATGGTTCCAGTGAAGGAGCCTATGAAACCCATCAGGATACTGAAATGAGGAATGAATATAGCCATAAGTATGGTGAAGACGATCACGCCAACCCTCCACGCGAGACCCCAGACTTTCAGCTCGCGATCCACCGTCCATATCGTCGGGAAAATCGTTTTCGGTCTACCCCTGAAAAACGCTCTCTCAAGGAGTTCGCAGGCCGCGTAATACGGCAACGGATACGAGAGCACAGCCTTGACCACTAAACAAAAATTCACCAGACCCTTGAAACCAGCCGAGTGTAAATTATTGGTGATCACTTGCTGGGTGTCGTTTTGAAATGTTAAGAAACAGATCCAACCGAAGAGGGACTTGAAGGCGGCAGCCGCGATGTGACTCCAGTTAAGCATCCAATCGAATTTCGAACGATCGATCAGATTACCCTCTAAAGTGGGTAGAAATATCTGCGAGGTGTAACTGAACACGATCACACCGAGGGAAATCGGGAAATTCTTAAAATCTATCGTCCATTTTACCTTGGACCAACCCCAGTCACCGATCTCCAAGACACAGTAACCAACGATGATGGCGTTTATGAATAGATGTGACATGGTACACCAGAAGCTCAACACCGAGACGTGTTGCAACGACTTGAGAAAACCGAGAGGCAGTAAAAATATTCCGGTCAACATCATCCAGCTTCTGGTATCGATCGCTCCCTCCGGAAAGGTACCGATCATCAAGTCACCGCAGACGACCACGTACAAGATACAAGTCATTAATAATTCGATGATCTGCGCTATGTTCACAGCACGCACACCCCATGTAGGCCCGAAACATTCCTTCGCGATTGCTACGTAGGAATCTCTTACTCGAACGCGTTGACCTGTCACGGTATCGAGTTCGTACAAACATTCGACGAGTATTTTACCGGTGTAACAACAGATATGCGCTATACCTATCATCGCGGCAATGGCCCAGTAACCGCCCCGTAAAACGGCGAACGGTAACGACACGATGAACATACCCTGAAATTAGAAATTTATATTCAAGTGGAATTATCGGCGTTGTACGCGGCGTTTTTGCGTTACCAAAAAATACCTGTATAGCGTTTGTAACATTCCACGCGGCTTGCCATTCGTTAATTTTTACTCCCGATCCACCGAATTCCCCGCCACCCTCGTCGTATTCGCTAAATTCTCCGCTACTAACGCTTCCTGTTTTAATTTTATCCCTGAAATGTAACATTTCCCGAGTCAATGAGAATATATGTTTCGAAAGTAAAGAGCCTTTTTATTTTACCCGTTTCGTTGATAACTAAACGAGTCCTCCGCTATGGCTACATCGCTCTGGTCCCGATATCCTTGATCTCCGTTCATCGTCATCATTTCCGTGTTATCGCGACCTTCGTCGAACGATTTGAACTCTCCTTGACCGTTCTGCCCTGGAACCGGTCGTTGACCCGTCCCGTTTCCACGAATAAGTTCCATACAAGGACTGTTCTCCGGCCATTTAGCCTTCAATGTTTCCCATGCAACGTTCATCGCTGCACCGAAAGATGGTATGTAGAATCCGCGAAAGTGGGCCATTGTTTAATTTCCTCCTCCTGAAAACAAAAATAATTGATATGTTAGTAAAAATTAAATGATGAATTTTTAAAAGTAGCAGAACTTGATAGTGCCAGGTTTTTATAAGAATTATAAAAATTATTCGTTATCAACTGTTGCGGATACTTTAATACTTTGTACATACGATAACTCGATATCTCTGGCCATCGTCGATATACTTACGCAACATACTTTTCCTTCGGTTTACACTTCCGGCAATAAAAAATAAAGCAGTCAATCAAATCGTACCGAATAACCAGTTTACATTGCCACCAGGTAATTTGGAAATTTTATTATGATTTTCTGATATAAATGGTAACGAGGTATATTTATCGAGTCACTTTAACTATGATTCCTGATTTATTCGATCGGCTTTAAACGAATGAAATTTAACAGATATTATACATGTAGGTCATTTTAATCACTTGATAGAAAAAGGGTCGAATATATAGCTTGAAACAGTTATATGGCAATGAAATTTTAATATGAGAATATTATCCCCAGATATGTATTTAGATTCAATATTTAAGAAAGAACCATTTAATATTCTTTTTTCTTTTTACCTATGTGTCTTCCAAACTTTCCTCGGGGCAATATATCTTTAGTGTCTCCCTATGAACGTTTGTTCCTGATTTCGAATGATCTTATGCTTTAGTTGTAATCTTAACTTACCGAACGAAGAAGAAAATTCGCCTCCCGATAAACGGGGAGGAAAGTTAGCGGCTTTTGAACGATGCAACGATGGCAGCCGCGATCTCCTCCACCGTCGACCTCGTTCGTTTTTTCGGGGCAGGTGAGGCTAAACTAAAAAGAAAAATAAGGGGTCCGGCAGCGAGTCCCGAGAACGAAAATACTTGAAAAGAAAGGGTCGAAACCGTCTAACTACGTGGGCTACGATACCGCATGGTCGTCTACGGTCTACCGCGATCGTCCAGTCCTTAATCGCGAGCCCTTAATCGCGCCATAGACTACGGGGTTGGCGTTTCAGGGGTTGGGAGATCGGAAGAATATAGCCAGCATCCCTCGAACGCGCAAGCCTCGATCGATGTGGTCCACGAGACGTTTCTTGACACGTCAGTACTGTGCTTAAGGGTCGTGTCTCCCCAACGAAAAGAACAATCGGATGAGACGACATTTCTAGGAGGGTGACTGAAATTGTTGCCAGACACCCTTTCCTAGACCTGGAATCGTTGGTACACTTGTTGTACGTGTGATAAGATGAAGCTGATGTTGAAAAATTATTATATGGTTGATAAGAAGAACCATGAATAAATTGAGAAATGATTTTTAATAATTAATGTCTGTGGATGCTTTATATCTTGCGAAGAATCCAGAGCCTAATTAATGACGAACATGAAATAAGAGATGCGATAAAGCATGTGCGTATAACAGAGAATGTTTGAAGTTATTATATTAATGTTCTTTTATTATTTAATATAATACAGTATTTAAAGGCATTAATAAAAACTATAATGGATTTTAATAAATAAAGAAACCAACTTGTTTATTATTTATCTTAGGTATGTTACTTTTCACAACGATCATTAATAATTAATATTAACTGTACAATCGTTTGTGTCCCTGCGTTTGTAATTGAAATTATAGTAACACTCAAACAAACAGTTTCTCGCATACAATATGAACATGTCGTTACACTATACTGCATACAATTCTGGTAACATTTCAAGGCCGTGAGATCACAACAACGAAAGAAATGCTTTTTTCCTCTAAGTTTCATTATAAAGACATTAATAAATTTATATATTAATGAATTTACAAATTAATTATACTACAAGTGATTGCAAGTAGATATTGAAAATTGTCTACTAAATTTTCTACAGTACAAAGCATGTATAACGTTACTATTGTTCTGTAAAATTTTGTTGCGATAGGATTTTGATTGGTATATTTCACCAACAGTAACTAAAAAATTTCTGCTAAATTAAGTTCGTTTAGATTTTCAGTCTTCCACTTATATGCATATTATGTATAATATATATATATATATTCTTTTTGTTTTAATAGACGCATATAAACCAAGAAATATGTTATATTTTACAGTATTGTGACAATATTTTGTATATGCAGCAAAGACACACAGACATTACAGTAAGCGTACAAAGAGGAAGTGTTAAAATTTCATATCGAAGTCGGAGTACTAATGGTACATTACCGACTCAGGCAAAATATATAGCTGAATATTTGATTTTAAATAATACACTCATAGATACCAAAATTTTTGTACTAACTTCCCATCGAATACACGTAATACCCACAAATTTACATTAAAATTGCACGTAGTAACAAAAAACGAAACACATTAGCGAATATCTCGAGATGCTCGAAAATTTTTATATCATTTACTTATTGTACAGTGTAAATAGTTATATCGAAGAAGATATCTTTGTTTTACAAATCTAACAATAATCTGTAACACGGCTAGGACATAACAATTAGAAATTGATTCCTTTGTGTTAGGATACCATCCATAACTTTACTGTCCATGTGAAAGTGTTAATTTATATATATATTATATATATAACCATAAGATGTTGAAGTAATTAATTTACTCGGTGACATCCCTTTGTGTTTGATGAGAATCACTATCAGAAGTTAAACTTTCAATAGCACTATCTTGTTGTAAAACCGTTTCAGAACTCCTAGTCATACATAGTTTATTAGACTTACTTTCTGTGCGATTGGACTTATAATTCTGATCTAGATTCGAATTTACAGTGGAATGTAATGGTACGTTAGACTGAACGGAAACAGGTCTTTGACATGAATGCAACATTAATTCTGGTCCTCCACCGTATGTTGTTACGAAAAATTGCCAGAGTTCCTCTGGTATTTGTCCATAATCTGAGCCTATAAACAATTTTTAAAAACATTAATAATTCTCTTATAAAATATAATACGTTTGAATACTCACCAACTTTAAGAATGTTTTGCCCATTTTTATTTATTATAATAGAATTATTATCGATTGGTCCGGGTGGCTGTGTCTCTTTACCGCGTACAAAACTTTGCCATTGTCTTAACCAAGCCATAGCCAACCCATAAATAGCAGTAGGATTATCTGTATTGTGATTTAATCGTTGAAATACTTCCATTTCGTATTGTCTCCTTTTTTGTAATGATTCATACTTTTCTTCACAAATCGGACATTCATACAAATGTGTACATGCTGGACCACCTCCGAATCTGAAAAAATATTATGTTAGTTAATAAAATTCTGTAATTAAAAACTACATTTATGGAAATATCGAACGTGTCATTTACATCGCACTTACGTATTATACAAATATTCCCAAACTGCTTGTGGAATAGGCATACTAAGCTTATCTACAAACTGTGCTCTAACAGGATTAACACCACCATGTGGACAAAGAAAGTCTGAATTATCTATAGGTCCTGGTTCTGAAAATGTGTTAAAACGATTTATCCACTGCCGCGATACAAAGAAATTTAAATCGGATAATTCTCTAGATGAAATCTCCATCAACTCCATAGTTTTATCACGTAACTGCAACATTTCTGGTGACCACTTCTTATAAAATAACACATACGCTTCACAATGTTTTACTGTTTCTGGTGAAACTTCAGTGACACACTGATCATCAAACTCAAACCACTTATTAACAATAGGATTTAATGCATAACAAGTATAATGCCCACCACCAGCTGTTCCATGATGACAAATAACCGATATCAAGTCGTACATTGTTACTTTCGATACACATTCTTTGTGCAAATACGGTCGCATATCTAAACCTTCTAATGGAAATGAAACGTAATTCGCTATTTTCGAACTAAACATTAGTTCGTGACGAAACCTTTTTAAATGAACGCATAGTATTTCTGGTAATTCTAAAACTTTGGAAAATTTAATTCCGTTACGCAGCTTGTTACACTTTTCACAACTATACATATTATCTCCTTTAAGTTCGTCTGCGCTAAAAAATGCAGAAAGACAGTCATGAAGGCTAACAACCGGCCCCCAAAACCAAGAGCGCATCCATTGCAAGAACCAAGACAACCAGCCAGACTGATTTGTTACATATACAACATCTGAACATGGTCCAGCCTTCTGTGGAGTTAGAGATCCTTGATGTAACATATCAATATGATCTCTACTTGGAATGGGTAATGATAAGTCTTGAAAAGTTTCTACTCTCGTTGAAATCCTATCGCACGTTAGACATTGTACGCTACTTAACAGTTTACCATCGAATATATCGCTAATGATACTTCGTGTTTTCATTTGTTTCTTCGTTCTATACTTAACAGGTGAATTTTGCGTTGATCTCTGCGGTTGAGAAAACGGTTGATCTACGGTTGACTTTTTTATACTTCTATTCGTAAATTTACTTCTCAGCTTTTCCGACTGAGATACGCGAGAATATCTACGTTTTGTACCACGTTCACCTTCATCACTAAGAGAACTTTGTTCGCTTACTCCAGAATCACAAGTTTCATACTCGGCGTCAGATTGGCTAGAACCGTTTCCATCAATTTCAGTTTCATCCTCGTCTGACGACTGCTCTCCTAGCCCTTTTAATCTTAAAGCATTATCACGATCATCTTCGATATGTTCTTTCAATTCTTCGTGTAACTGATCCATAAAACATCTTAGAAATTCTTGAGTATCATGTTGATGGTATCCTCTAAACATTGGATGAACTGTTCTTATACCAGACAATATTCCATGGGGTACAACATATCCCCTTGTTTTCCTGTTCCACATATCTCGAATAAGGTTTAAATAGCTTAGGCTTAGACCAGGTTTTCTATCTTTGGACATATAGCTAACCATATGACCACAATCCAAAAAGAATTGAGTCAATGGAGGTACATTTGATAAAGCTTGAAGCGCAGCATTCATATAACATGTATTGCCAATGTTTTGAAGGCCAACAAGACCTCTTGGTTTCCCATTAAAATCTTTGCTTTCATCTGAATCCGTACTATCCGGTGAATCTCCAGATTTTTCATTAAACAGCCCATCTTTCTCATAATTAACTCTATTTATAAGTTCACCATAAAACCTGTTATTTATAAAACATTTTTAGAAACTTATAAAGGATCAACATAAGTAAATGTTTAGAATATTAAATATTATACTTACTTATCCAAAATAAGTCTATTAAGATCATCTGTTTTACAATCTATATTAACAGGTGCATCACCAGCAAACTTGTTACTTTGTGTTTTAATATCTATTTGTGTAGGTGATCGTGGTGGTGATGGTACATGCCTTGTTATTACTTCCCTTTTACAAGCATAACACCATATACGATTTGTAGAAAGATTCATATGAGCACAATGAGAAGGAATTTTTTGGTTGTGTACAGTGCTGTGGTCCAAATGTGTTTCAGCACACCCGACCCAAAGGCAATCAGGAAACAGGCATAACCATAAATTAGGCCCGCCTGCATCACATTCACTACATTTTGTAAACCTTTCCTTTTGAGACACAACAGTCTCGATAAATGCGAGATCACAACGATTGGCGATGTGAGGACAATTCCTCGAACTTAGAGGCATTTGGATTTTGATATTTGTCCTGGTGATTGTTATTGATCATAGGACGCGAAATCGCGCGTATACTTTACTTTTTTACATTCGTTTGAAATTTGGCTTACACGCGACTCGGATGTTACAATCATTTTCTAACCTGATTGAGACATGTCGCTCATGATAATCGAACATTACCCACGAAAACGATTGTCATTGGAGATAGTTGTGTTGAGAACATTAATTATTACAATCAGATAGCCAATACAAAGGAAAAAGTATAGGTTGGCGCGCATGTTGCAGTCGATAATCGAATTTGAAAATCTTTAAAATAAACGTTATGTTTCTCTAAATCATGTTGAAGTTCAGTTTAAGAATTAATATTTGTCATAAATTCCTCCTTTCAAAACGTATTTGTATTAAAAAGTATATCAATCATGATATTTATAAGAAAATATATGTTACGATAGATGTCGCGACATTAGACAAAATGTTAGGGACCACTGTGAAGACTATGCAACAGAGTAGGATTTCCCTAGAGTCGGCTGTGACATAACCTAATAATTGAATTGTATATGTACATATAACCTTGTTTACCAGTTTCAAACACGGTTCAATTAAAATGGTATAAACATAAGTTTTTAATTCAAATTTGCAACAACATTAGAATATTGTTGCATACTAACATTGATGGATTTGTATAAAGCACTTATTTCACTGTGACTTTTGTTTCGATATTTCAATTATTTATGTAATAAACTTATGTTACATGTCGCTTAGAAAAAAATTGACATGTTAGGATTATTAAAAAGAATTAACTTTGTACATTGTGCAAATAATGTGCTTTTAATTACAAGTAATAACTGTATAAGGAATAATTTCTTACAATTAAGAGCAATAAAACTTGCTGTAACTTGTAAGAACGACGTCGAAGAAACTACGGTAAAAAAGAAGAAAAAAACTGTACGAATTCCTGAAATTACACTTATGAATATTGATGGATCTATTACTGTTACTAAGCTAGAACAAGCAGAAAAGCTTGCTAAACGGCATAATTTTTACTTAATAAAGCTGCCATATATTGATACTAAAGGTTCCAGGCATATTTACAAACTTGTAGATCATGCAACATATATTAGAGAAATAGGCACAAGTGAAAAAGATAAAAATAAAGAAACCAATCAAAATGGAAAAAAAGATCATAAGTACAAAAGTACTAAATTATTTGAAATATCATCTAAGATTAATAAACATGATTTAGATACAAAGCTGAATAATATTAACAAGTTACTGAATAAAGATCATATAGTTAAAATTATATTTACTTACTCTGAAAACCATAAAAATAAGGTAAAGGAAAATATCAATGCTTGTAAGAATAATTAGATTAATTACTTTATGTATATAATTTCATTGGATATAAATTTGCATTTAATGTTTAGGAAGAAGTATTACAAGACATAAAGAAGAATATCCAAGGAGTTATGGAAGGTGAAAAGATATTGGAAACCTGTACAAGATTTACTTATTTACCTTTAAAAGCTGAAAATGAAAAATCTGAAAGTGATAATAAAGAATCTGATACTAAGAAAATATAAATTAAGATTATTACAGGTCATTTATTGTATTCCATGTATACTTTACTTGTAGTTAGAATAATTAAATAAGCATTAGATTTGCAATCAGTTTTATTTATAACATTATTGATAATAGGATGAGAACACAGATAATAGGTCACGCAATTGTTTCAGGTCATAACTTCGATATTAACGCATTTTTTCATAAATGCGTTAATAACGGAGTTATGACCTGGAACAACTGCGTGGACCACTCGGTATAATATTATTATTATCAGATCCAAGTGAACAAACTAATATAGTAACAATGGTTTATTTATAATTAATAAGTAAATATCTTACTATCTAGAGATATGTTACATATACATATAGTATTGTCTCAACATACAAGTATTCTCTCGACGTTTGTAGTATCTGGAACTGATTTTACTAAAATCTTAAATATGTATGATTTTCATAAATACATATAAGTATTTGGTCTTAAACTGAGATCTATATTTTCTTAAATCTTATATTATAAATGCTATAAATATGTTTTTTCATGATACCCACACAGATGATATTATCTGTCATAAATGAGTTGATTATTCTTAATTAATTTAAATTTTCTATAGAATTCTTTTTAACAAAACAGAATCTTCTATATAATCTAGTCATGTAAAAATTAAATCTAAAATTGATTATAAATAGTATATATTTATTATAAATCTCAATAACTTAGTTCTTTTTGCTTTTACAAGTAATTGGAATGCACTTCCTGTTAACTGAACGAACTATTGTGATAGTTAAGTGTTATTTGATTCTTTCAGAAAATGATAAATGTAATGTTGCATGATAAATCTTTTTTTAATATTAAATAATTCAGAAGATTTTAAACAAGACACAGATTAAAAAATGTGGCACGACTTTTGTGCGTTATGCTTCAAATAAACACCTACACTGTTTAAGGATTGATAGATTTTGTTTTGTTTGAGAAACATACATGTGTAAAAAATGTCGGTAATTTTATGGACATTTCACTGTATGACATTTCCTATACTCTACTAAAGAGGGGCATAATTTACCTCTAGGACCAAAGGGTTGAACTTTGACTATCCTTGTTCTATATTGTGATGCATCTCCACAAGTGGCTGTACAACGTGACCAAGAGGACCATTGTGACATTTTGCAATCAACTGAAACTGAGTGGAAATATTCTCCGGCAATCATAAATAAAATTTCTATTTATTAATAATTTTATTCATTAATAATCGAAGCTCACTTTGATTTTCTTCCGCTTCTTTACGATACGTGCGTCGTCCAGGCCCATCGCTTTGCAAGGCTGTACATTTTACATTAAAATTTCTTTCTTAAATGAACTATTATATCGACGATAGAGATACTTACAACACGGTGGAATTTTATGGCACTTCTTTCTACGACGCATCTTTTTTGGGCAATTTTTACCGTTTCCTCTAGAAGGCACCTAATTATTCAAATTAAATAATTTATCTTAAATGAATATCAGTTTATGTTTCATTTTTATTAATTATGAAAAAATATTTACCAAAATCTCCCTGGTACTCTCTGTATATCCACGACATCCTGCGCATTTTGACCAATTACTCCATTCAGATACCTGGCAATCAACGTTTTCCGTGTTTTCCTGTGATTCTATCACTTGGCTGTCCGGTTGTATCCCTTTGAATTCTAATCTTTCTGTAAGAAAGTGGTAAAATCTGATACATAATGTAATAGAAATGATTTCTATTTTTTTTTCAGAAACAACACGTTTGAACTATAAATGAAATAAAATGAAATTAAAGCCCCGTGCTCCAGAAACCTTAATCCTATTCTTATCAATCATGCGAAATGAAATATTGTAAAAAGCTGATTATTAGCATCACCGTGGTGAGCTCGTTTTATCTTCGTGCTGCGTTGATCCTGAGCAGGTATGTGATAGCTGAGAACGCTGCTGACGGACACCTTATAATTTTTCATCGTCGAAGACGCGTTTGTCCTTAATTCTTCTATGTTAGTTTTATGGGAAAGCGTGCACAGAATAAGGGCGAAGATCTCGTTAAAGTAGCGGTCTTCGATGTTTGAGAAATTCTCAAATCTCAGTTTACAAATTAATTCTGAACGATGTCCAAGAAGCGAAAATTACTTTGAAAATCTCCGCAAACATTTCTGCAGTCCTGCTCCGTTTGGAAATTGTTGCGGTTTCCACCGCAGCCGGAATAACTGAACAGACGGCAACGACCCACCGTTTGGTTGAAATACGCTCGCAAAATATTTCCATTGCATCCTCCTTCTTTCATCGGTTCCCTGCAGATCTCTGGAATCGAACATTTCTTTCCCTCTATGTTCAAATGAATTCTCATTAAAATCAAGGAGATTTCAACTTACTCTCTGCTTCTTCCTTCGTGAAATCACACGTTGGAATATTTGCTACGCATGCAGCCTGTTGCAGCTTGCACTCTTCGAGGCTTACATCTTCGTCGTTGTCCCCCATGCTGCTCCAATTTTTGTTAACCAGCCTGGATCTCAATTGGACACCAGGACCACAACTGGAACTGCACGGGGACCATAAGGACCACTGCGTGTAACGATCCTCGGAACACTTCTATTTGTAAAGGCAAATAAATAAATTAATAAAAGGATTACAACTCTTGACAGACACTAGGATGATTTTTATTTACAGCAATATTTTATACTCATTTTCAATGTCTCGATTACTTAATAATTAAAACAAAATTTCTTGTAAAATCAGAATAATTTTTCAATTGAATTTAGAATCAAGTTAGAATAAATAGTTTTAATAACAGATTTTTATTAAATTCATGACGTTGAAGAATTAGTAATGCTTTGTGAAACATTCGTGAAAAAAAGAACACATGTAAATGAATGAATTGAGTGAGCAGAAGAAAAATTAATTTTTTATTAAAAATAAAAATAAACACTGTCGATTTTCTTTCGTTACTTCTAACTCACTCGTATCTTGAATTAGTGGATCGTCGATTTCATTTTTCTCACGAGTAAATCTGTCGACTTACGTGAGGATGCCAGTACCATGGATGGATCTGCGAGAAATGGTGCAGGTATGGTTTTCAGTTAACTAGCGAATTGAACGACGATCATTCTGACAAATTCGAGATTCGTTAGTGGTGATCTGTTTATTTTGTGAGTTATTTGAAAGACAATCTTTCAATACGGTCTTCGTTACTTTCACGATGATCGATAATTTGTTAATCATTTTCATGAACGATAAGGAATGAGTATTTGAATCTCTGAAGGAGGTAAACTTATATGAAACAGTAAATGGAATGCATAGAACGATGTTTCAGCTTTGAGTAATAATTTATAATTTAAATTTTTAAAAGAAACCACCGTACAAAAACAATGCCATCTACTATTTTTTAATATGTTACACTCGTCCTATTTCGTTCGCGAGCGAGTTGAACTTGTTACTATCGAGGTGCCACGTGTACTTGTGAGGTTTCCAAAGAAAAGCCGACACTGTTACGCGGCAATTAGTAAATTTCTTGGAAATTCTCAAAGGTTCTGTACCTGCAGCCATTTTTCGGTTACCTCCACCGTCGGTTCCTCTCCTTCGTAATCCTCTCCGTCACCATTGTCCTGTTCCATATCCACATCATTCTCCTCCGTCTGGCTAGACGGTTCTCTTACCTCATCCATATCCCCATCGAGACACGGATCGTTCTCACAGTCGATCGTCTGTTGAAGTTCCGGCCCATCGGGAATGGATTTACATTCTTTCCGATGCTTTTTCTCCCGAAAGTTCCTCGATCTGGTCTTGTGACCTGGTCCGCACGTTGCCGTGCACGAACTCCAACTGGTCCATTCGGTTAGAGCGCATTTTTCTGTGTCCAACAGGTGCGCGAAACGGCCTCCTTTGCTACTGCAACACAAAATTATTCTAATGAAGTTGAATGTTAAAAACTTAGACGTTTGAAGAATATTTCCATGGAAGTCGAATAATCCTTGGAATCCGATCAGCCTGGTAATTTTCCATGAAATTGGTAAATTCGCATTGTCGTCTAAATTTCAGAATGTTCATTCGAGTTATGAAACCACCCTCGACACCCTCCGGGTTTCCTAACAACTTCGCCGAATACTAACTCACGGGGATTTTAACGAGCCGACAGCTGGACAAGTGTCGCTGGAACGGCACAATCCTGGCTCGTTAAAATGCTAGCAGTTTGCATTCACTGGGATTATAAAGCAACGAACGAGCACGTTCAATCTCGTTTCCCAAGCGATTGCGGTTCTCAAGTCGCGAGAAAGCTGCCGCCTGGAGTTAATTACTCTCGAATAGGGAAATAGCTGATCGGACCGTGATATACAATATTTTATATTTCGCTTTGATTAATGATTTTGTAAAATGATGGTAGTCACCAGTGAGGACTCTTCCCATAACAGGTCGCTCTGTCAGTTAGGATGGTATTGCATTTGTTCATCGTCGCAGCAGCTTCGTCCTGATAATGCCTTTGTCTAAGTTTGCTTCCACGACCGCACTCCACGGAACATGCACTCCAGGAACCCCATTCTGTCACCTTGCAGGCTTCTACATACGTTAGAGATCGCACCGTTTATTAATTACATCTCCGTGAGTTGACGAGTCTGCACTTTCACGCCTCATCAAAGAATTTCAGCACAATTTTAATATCTAAAGGATTTGAAATTGTACTAATAACGAAATCATTTCTGTTAATTATTTTATCGAACATTTGAAAACTTTAAAGTACACGTTTCATACAGTATGTAAAATACCATTTTGTGACTAATTAATTCACGTTTGAACTGACAAGCAACATTAAGCGATAAATCTCAAATGTACGCGCTCGTTATTGCTAATGATGTTTCATCAATTACTGTAAATTATATATGCGTTCATTAAGAAAATATTTATATATTACATTTAGCTGAACTATAAATCTAAAGAATTTTATTCTATAAGGGTGAAAATCCTATCTACGAAATGGATACTATTAAGCTAGAAATATTCTGAAATAAGCAGTGCAAAATGTGATGTTTGATTTGATTACGAGTGTGCTATGATAACATCAATTATTTACAATAGACTAAATTGTATCGAATTCTAATAAATGAACAAGCTAAATATAAGAAAATTATTTCTAGTATAATTTACCTCTATTTCCTTAGAAATAAACCAGCTTGGGCAAATAATTGAACACCTCACGATATGGAGACTTTGAAAGCAATTTTATAAAATAATTAAAGTCACAATTTTATTTATCATTTATTACCTATCAAAATAGGATTGTTAATTATTAAATATTTAGTTTGTATTTATCTCCATGATCGTGATCAGAAAATAAAAGGAACTACAGTACAAAAGCAATACTTGCTGTTTTTGCGACTACTGCCAATTGTTGCACCTGGATCAGCGGCATCCGCTGAGGTATCCTCGCAGGACTTTTCATAAAGTCTTTGCCGATTCAAGTAAAGTCTCGCAAGGGGTTTCATGTCTAAACCGGAAGGATCGTAAAACGGAGATCTCGAGTCGTTTGGATAGGTCGAAGTGATACGTCGGATGGGTTCTTGTGGTTCTGTTGGCGAATCTGGTGACTGGAAATATTACTTTTTATTATTGTACGCGAAGGGAGTCGTGTAAAATTTTTATTTCAGAAGGTGGAATACAAGTTTTGGATAGAGTTAAAGTTATAAGGTTTTAAGAAGGAAACTTAAAACCTTAGAACGTTGGAATCTTATAATCTTAAAATTTTAGAATTTGAGAAGTTTCGAATTTTAGAACCTTAGGATAAAAAATAAAAAATAAATCTACCAATGTTTAAAAACTCAGTTTCACTTACTAAATAAGTAATTCCATCGTCGGTACCTGCATCGTAAGGATACAAATTGAGCTCTTTGTGTTCTATCCAGGAACAATTAGCCAGACACAGTTCCAAGCCTGACACACCGACGATCCAATCCGGTGAAGGATCTAGAAAATCATTTTTTCTCTTTTCAGCCAATTACGTCAAAAATCTGGTCGATCGAACGTTATTTCTCAAAGTTTAAATTAAAGGGAACGGTGGCAGCGAAACTCTTTGGAAGTTCCACGATAATTTAAGACAAGTTCCCAATGTAATGAAGAAACGTCTCGTTTCAAGATTTCTCCAAGTTATTATAAGATTCGCGAACTAAATGCTTTTCTGCATTGGAAAGCACTTCTGTTTCTGACAATTTCTCGATATCGAGTTTTACTGACTCGAATGACTGGACTTTAAAATAAAAATAGTAGATAAACTTCTTTGATAAGAAAAAACATATTATATTTGCATAATTGTTAAAAATAAACGTCGAAAATTATCAAGAGTACTTTCTTACCAAGCATGGACACTAAAGACATAAGATGATGCTTCCGGTCAACCCGGAACACTGCAAAAGTTTTCCCAGTGACATTGGGATAACTTATCCCTCTAGCTTTGATTATCGTTCTAATATGTTCACTCTAGAAATAAATAACAAGATTATACGTAACTATTTCCTAAGAAACAAATACATCTTTATTTACTTGAAACGAAAGAATTATTTTAATCATGATTCAACATAAAAGTGGAAGTTCCGAATATTTAAATAAAAAGTATACAGATCTTTCTTTTATTAAAATTACCATTTTAATAAAAATGTAATACTTACCTGAGCCTTTAATTCGGATTCTAATTTTCTGGTTGATCCGTGTTCAGCCACTTGTCGCAGACCTGTACTGGCCATGCCACTGTATTTCCAAAACCCGTAATCTACCGTATGGGAAGCTCCAATAACGTCTGAAAATCGAATGAGCCATCCTTTGCTAGGAAAATCCTGTAAAAATTGCGAAGGAACAAAGTCATTTCCTCAAAGAAATCAGAAAGTCAGATGGCAAATTTCCAACAATTTGCAATAAAATATCCTGTGGTAGATACTTCAGGTACCAAACCCCTGGGCATTCTTACCGAAATGCCCCCTATTCAAAGATAAAATATTTTTCTCTCTCCTTTTACTTTTTATAGAAAGATAAAGGAAGCTTAAACTCGGTGGAGATCGATCCCATCGCACTGTCAATTTTATTTGACGAGTTCTTACGTGCCTTGGGGTGAGTGTTCCTCGACCAAAGTCCCTCGAAAGTAACTTCGTACTTTGCCTCGTCGCAGGCGCAACACTCTTGCAACACTGGTCCCTGATCGTCCGCTTCGGCTTTCGAGTCTTGACATATCTTCAGAACTAAGTTCCCGTCATCCATGTACCATGTATCCGGCGTTTCCAATATCGTCGCTCTGTAACACGATCAAAGAAAATGGAAGAACGCGAGTTAGCTAAAAGCGGTGTGTCTTCCAAGTTGCAAAGATCGCCTAACATTAGGGATATTAATCTAAATTTAAACGTATCGTTTCTTCAACGGAGAGACATGCGGGAATATGGACAATTATCGTTCATGCTTGTTATTAAAATATCCCTTCACCTGATAAATATGCAACCGCTACCTTCGGAAGGGCTGGTCCAAGCCACAGAAACCTCTTCTTTCGGCACCTTCGAGGTCTCCACGACAGCGTTTGGACATATCTCTGAGTACCTTGTTAACGCCTCATCCTGAAGATCAAAAACCCCGCTGTCCATCGAGTCACCTTCGGCCTCAGCCTCGCTGGATATCAGAAACCTGGTGAATTTTCGTGGGATAATGCCGGTGCTGTCGGCTTGCACCGTTACTGAAACACAAGAATCTCTTTTTTCCCAGCATTTTGTCAAAATTTGTCACGAAGAAACATCAATTTTCAATCGTTTCGTTATTTTACCATTGAACGTTCTTTATTCACATTCATGATTTCAATCGAGCGTACATGGAATTCGATCAAAGTAACCCATTGTCAGTTCACGCGTGTACAGATTTATTTATCGGGACGTTAAAATGTTTCCAACGCCATAAATTTTCACCTCTGCAAAGAGTATTTGAAATTGAAAAGGCTTGCAGAGTTGCACTCGCAAATATCATTTATCAGTGCATTTATTCGTGAAACATTGTTTTTCTTTCACCTCCGTTCGATAGGAAAATATAGGTGAACAAGTTAACGCTAGTTTTAATCTTCAAATTGAGTTCCCACATTTTCTATATGGAGGAAATATTCGTGTGCTTGAAATAGAGATATAGAGGCTGGTTGCTCCGTGGCTCGCTATTTATATAACTTCGATTAAACACGGTATACCCTGAATCCGGCAAAATATCCAAGGCAAACATGATTTTTTTCTTTTATAGGTTTTCAATAAATCGTTGCCGTTCGAAATAGCCGAACTAATATATATTTCTGAACATAGAAAACTACAACTGTGAATAAGATAAATCCAGTCATGAAATTCAGAACTGCGTCAGCAAACCGTGACTCATGACCTCCCACGATTGTTCCCATAACCCTGAATTAGAAGAATTAACAAAAAAGGGGGGAGAAACAGAATTAAATGAAACCTTCGTCGGTATATCGTGTTTCCCACGCTGCCACGCAGAATTGATAGGAAAGAAAGGTTAATTTTACAGCTGAATGTCAGAAGGATCTTGTCTAACCCTTCGGTTCCCATTGGCGCCTACAAAAATCATCGTAGACCCATCAGGGATATTACTTATTGATTTTCATTCGATGATAGCAAACTATACTACTCGAGAAATGGAGGGCATACAGAGTTCGTAATTCTACAATCTAAAGATGTCCATATGTAGAAATGAAAGTAGAATATCCTTTGTATATATAGAGAGAAAGAGATATGATAATGTAAAAGAAGCTCCTTCAGCAATTTCTGATATCTCTGAAACGATTGATTTTTCGAAACACGTTCAATGAAAAAGAATATAAAAGGTAAATTTGAAACAGTTTAAATTTAGAAAAATTCAATTAATAAAATAATTGTTAAGAAACGAGAAGCAAAGTATTGGTTTTAGTTAACGTTAGAAGCTCGAGCTCAGTCTTGTGAATTTAGTTGTCACGTTGCTTGATCGCTTCTCCGTTTACGTCTTTAGAAACCCTTCGAACATAAATCGAGGAGATTTGTTGTCTGCACGACAAGGTTTAATCGAATTCCCGATAATGCGAGTTCTTGTCGTTCTTTTTCCCCTCCCTTTTTTTTTTTTTTTTATTCACTAGGCTTCTTTTCTTCTCGATCTCTTTCTCTCTCACCTATCTCAAGTTATTTCGTGCAACTCCCCAAAACTAAGATCTTTTGTTTTCAGAAGAGCTGGATTTCTATTATATCTTTGTTTTTCTTTTTAAAAAGCACTAAAAGGATTTACTTTTCTATCACCGGAGGCTTCGCGTTTCCAATCAAACTTTATTTACTTCGTTTAATGTTTTCCAATCGAAAAGAAAACTGTTGAAAAATTGTACAAGTTTTCTTTTAACACGTCGGTGAGGATTCATTTTGAAAACGAATCGTTAGAAATAGAGAAATTCTTACTGCAATAAAAATTCGTTTTATTACAGCGAGGACAATACTGTATTCACTTTGCGGCGTATCCTAACTATTCGTTAAATCCTCTTTTTATCACTGCAGAACCTGGGTTCGAAGGATGATCGTAAACCATATTCTTTCCTTTCCTTTTCCATTGTGTTTGAATTGGAGATGAAAGGAAAATATAGTAAGCCAATTTTTCAAACCGAACCCCACTTTTGCCAGAGACTCGAATTAAATCATTTAATTTAAATATCATTTTCAATATTCTCGTGAAAATCTTTACCCTTTATATTTTTACATATAATTGAAAATAAACAATTCGTATGGAAATTAAATCTTTTGCGTTCGTTATAAAATTGCATTGAGTTTTGTTTATGCGATATCGTTTGATTAAAAGGAAAGTCGTGTTTTCAATAAAAGCAAAAATCTGTAGCTTTCGAATGCAAGAAAGCAACAAGGAAAACCATTCTCGAATAATCGTTGTTTTGAATTTTCAAAGGTCAATTGATTTCCACTTTCAATTATAAAGCGAATAAATGTATAATTAAAATGTTATTTAAAACGTTTAACATTATACTGGTGGCAAATTATTTCGGTGTAAAATCACGATGTTTCACTTACGATCGTAAAACAGATATAAAATTTTAATTAAAATTCGCATCGCCTACAATAGAAAAAAACAAATCACGAAAGAATTTAAAATATATGATGCTTGCCTGTTAATTTCATTTCATCGCCACTTTATTTTATAAAATTCCATTGAATAGGGACGCATAAATAATTAAATGACTCTTTCTCTTTAATTTCATCGGATAACTGTCCTTCACCTACGATAGAGGAAATGTCGCGGAACTATTTAAAATAGGCCGGTATAATTTCAACCGGAAACCGGAATTTGAAAAAGCTTTATCCACTGGACAAATACCGGTAGAAGCGTGCACGATTTCTCCGAACAACAACGTTCTCGAAACACGACTGGTCCCTCTGGTACGAGGTGCTCATTGTTCGTCGCGTGAAACGTCTTGCAATTGCAACCGAGTGCAAGCGGTGCATTCGTCGAAGCGCATTCACGCAGAACTCGCACCTGGCTGGTAGCCAGCGTTACGTAACGCATTAATTCACAGACTCGTCGGATTTGCATGCTTTAGTAGCCATGGATCGTCTCCGGGCCACGTCGACCGGCTTAGTTTTCGATAATTGCATCGCGCGTTTCGCTCGATAGTCGACAAAGTGGATTAAACGTGGTCGGGGACCGATTAATCGCGAGCTAGGCACGCGAACGTTCAATCGATCCAACTTAATTGACGATGAACCAATGGACACACACACGGTTGAACAAACATCTACGAATCAAAAATAAAGAATTCTATCCCTTCGATCGTCTTTAGAATGAAACTTAATTCAATCCCCCCGTTCTTCTCCCTTACACTTTCGTTTGATCGCATGTGAAAGACGATTGCATGCTGTATTTTGTCAAATTCAAAAACCATTTATTCTTAGGAAATCTTTAAAAATATTTTTCCTGCAGAAGTCTAAATAGTATAAGATTTATATAATTTAGAAATTGATAAATGATGTAAACAATTACTGTAGTTGATTTTGCTGCTTAGGTAATAATTGAAAACGGTGTATTCGAGTGGATTTCTCGTCTTATTGTTAGACAAACAAACAAACAAGCAATTTGCATTCGGCTGCTTTCAACTGCGAGTCCATTTAACTGTTCAAAGTAGTCACGAAGAGAATTAAAACTTCCACCGGTTTCATTCGAGTCTTCCCTAACTTCTCAAGACAAAGTTCATTACGTCCGCGTCGTATCAGTGAAACCGCGTGTAAATTTATTTATTCTAAATGAAACCTTAGTACAGTTTCTCCGAAGTTCGTCTTAATTCAAAATCATTTCGCAAGTAAAATAAAACAGCCACCTACCAGTGTATCTAGTGTTCGGCATGTAGGAGAAGACCGTTTCCGTTCGATTGAACAATGTGATGAATAAATGGTATTTTTCATCAGCATTCGAACGAGGCATCGTCGTTCCGTCTATAAGTCTGCTGCATTTTGATGCACTCGTGCTGCATACTGCCATTAACAGCAGCAGAAAATTGCAGACGTCCCTTAAGCGTTTTATCCTCTGTAAAAGGAATGAAATATAATTTAAATACATCGATATAGCGAACGCGTTGGCGAATGGCAATGCTGCAAGTGATTCGCGAAAAATCTACCGGTTCCATTCATTTTCCGAATCACCAGTCAGTAGAAAATTGTCTAAAACTGGCGCAGTAAATAAGAATGATGCGTCACGGGTGGGATTAGGATCGGAAACCGATTGACCCAATTTATCCATGAACACCCACAACAGATGGTGGGACACGATGAGATTTCGTTTCGCGCGAATCTGGTGGTTACTTCGCTTTTCTTTTACCTTCGAGGCGAAAAGTGGAAAATTTCAAGCATCATCTTGGAAAATTCACGACACGTGTGCTAAATGATAAGAAAACAACCGATATTCTCTTTGATATTTTCGTTACGATTAATTTAGAATGATCTTTTCAAGAAAATCAGCACGATTTATTTTTTCAAAAGATCGTCACTCCTCGCCTCTTGTAATTGGCGTAATGCGGTTACGACATTGATTCTTTCTCGGACACATAAACGGATTCGTCGCAATCACCACGGCCAAGATCTTCAACAAGGCAAACGTCAATGATACGTTCAGACCCTCGTCATAATTATGTAAGGAAAAATTGTATTATAAAATTGTATTATGTATTAAAATTTCTCTTGAATTTATGTATTAAAAAGCCTTGAAAATTCCTCTCTCCCGCCACTTTTGTACACCCACCTAAATTGTTTCAGGGATCTTGAAACTGGACGTAAATAATTACTACATATATTTCATTCAACGAGACGAGACAGTAAATGCGTTAGAAATTCACGTGCTCGAAGCAGAAACCTCGACCGAACCGTTTGAGGAACTGGAAACAACTGAGATCCGACCCTGCGTCGAGCGCGTGAATTTGTAAACATATCATGACTCGTCTCGTCGAACGGATTATATTTATATCTCGTGGATGCGGTTCGATAACGATTGACAATCGTTTATCGAACGTTCGCGTAATCTTTGATGACGTGATTTCCATATTACGTCTGTTAATTATGTAACGGGCGTGCATTGTGCAACGATGAATTCGGTGGATAACGTACGGTTTGAAACGCGAAATGTCACTTTGTCGGATGCCACCTTCTATTAAATTAGAATGCGAATATCCCACGGAGAAGCACGTGAATGCCGGCCACCGGAACGTCGCCAACACGTGCGAGAAAACGTGTGTTCGTACTACTTAGCCGCTTGCTGCGTACGCTAACACGTACACGCGTACTACTGGCTGAGTCATCTTGGCAAAAGCGCAAACGAAACGAGCCCAATTTCTTTTTTTCTTTTCTTTTGTGGCGCCATGTTACAGAACACTACAAACACGTTTACAATGCTAAATTGTTGCTAATCAATAATATTAACAATGAAACAGATTGATGGAAACGTAAGAATAAATCAAAGATATAAAATTCATTTTGTCAACCTGATTGAAAGATTTTTCGATAGGTATAATTGAACGGTTTTAAGATATTGATATATTATTTTTGTTGAATGGACTAGTATGGAGAACAAAGACGGTGCATATAGGGCAGGATATTTGATTCGTCCTGGCGTTCTGCCATTCACGTTGTATCCTCGACCGCACAGTACCGACAGGAATTTAAACAATACCTGACTAAGCCACGAGACCATGATTTTCCTGTCTCATTACTCCAGAATTTACGCAACTCTGTTCACGAATTCCATTGGCATTCGGCTGGCTTTCCATTTTCACGAATCGCCTAGGCCACCCTCGTTCCACTCGTTAACTTCTTTTCACGTCATGCTTGACGAACCACCGTATAGGTATTCGTTGAACTTTGATTTTACAATAGCAAAGTGTAAAGCTCGTTCGCTTCTTTTGTTTCCATATTTCAAAAAACGTATTGTTTGTTCGCGTAATTTCGTGGAGTAAATTTCATTAATCGAGACCCAAAAAAGTTTCATGTATTGGAAAAATAATTTTAAAGGAACAGTATAAAATTTAGAAAATGAAAATGATATGAAGTACAGAAATTAAAATTATAGATCTCTCCGTGGTCCGCTGTGAAGGTAAAAATGAAAATTTTATGAATAGTTCATTAGTTTCAACGATTCCATTTCTAATTACGATTCATAATTATTTCAACACGAATGATACGTAATGCTTTCTCTAAGAGACAATCATTCAAGAAGGTAGGAAACTCTTTTGTGTCCCAAAGAATCTTCAGCCTTTCGAAGAGCATATTCAGTTTTTTTTTTTTTTTTTTTTTTTTTTTATCTGAATTGAGAGTAGAGGCTGATTACCCCTATTATGTGAGAGTAGGTGAGGAAACGAGGCTCAAGAACGAATGAAGCGGAATAAAAGGAGAGAATAGAAAGGAAAGAGGCTTCAGGGATTGCGTCGAGCGGAGTGAAACTGTGAACGACAGATTGTAAAGACTGCCAATACGTCATTCGAATGTCAATAAGTCGGGGATGCAAGGTTTCAAGCTACCAAATGGTAGAAATTTTCCTAGAGGCATCGTCATGAAGGTCCGAATAAAAAATATTATACACTGTACATTGTAAAAATGGTAATTTCCGTCCTCCCCCTGGCATCCCCGGGGAAAATGACAAATATTTAAATCAAAGCTATCCTTGAAAGATGTTATCAACAGGTAAACTACTTCCTAAGCTTCTTATTTCATATATTTTATCTGGCGTATAGATGTTTGTGTATTTACGTCGCTCGCTAAAAACACAGATTTCTCAGTGAATCGGAAACGGATATTTCAGGAAAGTCGAATAAAATACTGATTGCGTTTACTTTTCGAAGGAAGCCACGATCGAACGTAGAATTCAACGAATGAATGTCCAATCGGAAATCAGAGGGAAAACATCGGTCTATCGGGGTGATTGTTGATCCAGGTTAAGGAACAGGGAAATTTTTCACGCGAGTTAAATTAACCCTTTCACTAGGAATTTAGGGTAAAGAGAATTGTTAATTGTTGAAAATGATATGAAATACAAAATTATATTAAAATTAGAACTGAGAATCATTAGAAATAAGAATTCATATTTGTAACGTCTAAGGTACACGTTTCAGTAAAGTAAAGAAAATATCTCGCTTCCCGCAACTTTCTCAAAGTAGTTTTTAGAAAGGAAACAGATGAATGGTTTTAACCTAAAGTGATTGATGAACGCGATCAAATAGATGAAAAAGAGTACTCGCTGTATTCCGCCTGTTACATTATGAATCGATGAAGTTAAATTAAAAAAAAAGTGAATAGAAACCTTTCTTAGTGCAAGTAATAAACATTGTCAACGCGAAATTTCAATATTCACCAACTATTTTAATTACTGAACAGTTTTCATAAAAGAATGAAATTTGTACGATGTCCGTTTCAATTAAATTCTTTTTCATTTACACGATGTTTTTTCAGTTTCTTTTTTCATTTACCTTCAACGAAATTGGGGTAGAAACGGCACTCGCCGATATATCGCGTATTTTCTTATAAATATAAAAATCTAAATTTTAATTGATGATGTAAACAGTTTGAAAGATCGTTATTTATCGCCTTGAAACGTACACTTCGGGTCAAGATCATTTTCAAGAGCGATCGATCGATCGTTTTGCATAAATTAATTTATGCTTCCATTTCATTCGACCCGATTTGTTAATAAAATGTCCTAGGTATTTCATCGTTCGTGATAAATTCTTACAATTTTTAAAAAGGAACATCGTATCGTTGTGTACCTATATGTTTCAATGTAACACGGTAGCGGTGTAGAATGAAGAATGAAACGCTCTTTCCCGCATTTATCAACGTTCCTCTCCAGCAATACCTTTTACATAGCTCGTACATAAAAACGTTGCAACACTTTTTTTACCTCCATTTATTAAAGCTATCTCTAAAATCTTTACTAAAACAACGTACTAAAATTTTTGGATAACAGAAATAATTTTTCTTTTACGATACAATTACTGTTATTTTATAAATGATTAGAATTTATAATATTCTTTTAATTCGAATAATTACTTACAATGTCAAACATAATATAAAACTAATATTAAAAAATAAATAAATTATGGTACTTACCATGGTGATGATCGGAAGAAAACTGCACACTGGTCAGGAAACACGTGCACTGGTTTTAAAACGATTGGTTTTGGTGCTTCATGTCACGTGCGTAAGCGAAAATCGTATCACACGACAATAACACCCTTCCCGTTCGGAGGTCGGCGCGCAACTGAGCCGACTGAGCGCCTCGCGCCTCGAGGCGCTGACGTCACTAGCGGCAGCCAATGCAGAGGGAGCCATTTCCACTCGCGTTCGGTACCTGAAACAACTAAGAATAATTAATTATTTTGAAAACCGACTTTGGAATTGAGCTTATTATGCATTTCACTTGTTAATTAGCGAACTGACTTACTTTAGCAACTAACTATTTATTTGAGAAAAAGCATTTTCTCAAATACAAGAATGTTTTGTATGATGGGAACACCTTCACCGCCACTGACTGCCATTTTCCCTAGAGGGATACTGACACGAGTATGATCGTGGGTGTATCTGTTGACCTAACTATTCTGGAGGTGCAGATGTCGCTCGTTCTCAAGGCATAAATTGAAGACCCCTTGAAAACAAAAAAGGCATGTCCAGTCTTGCTGGATTTGTAGTCACTGCCTTAGGGCTGTTGTGAACAATGGCGACGTTTCGACGAAAGTGACATTCTAACGAACAAATGTGTTTTTACACTTTAACGTTAATCTTCTTTTGTAAATATTAATTACACTCGTTAGGTGTTAGATCGACAAGAATCTGTGTTTTATGATGGCTTTGAACGCTAATGCACTATCTAGTGACATAAGCCGAAGAAATCCACAGGATGAGTACGAGCTCATTCAAAGGATAGGTAGTGGAACGTACGGAGATGTTTACAAGGTACGTACTCGTGGCCTTTGTTTTATCGTAATCGACCACATTGTCTTTACGTGCTGTTTAATTTACTTTTCCAGGCCAAAAGACTTTCCATGAATGACCTCGCTGCGATTAAGGTTATCAAGCTGGAACCAGGTGAACAGTTTTCATTTTTCGCTCTCTTTACCAACATATTATTTTCGAACAGCTTACGCTTTCACTGAAGTATATAAATATTTATAGAATGTTCATTTACCAAAAATGTTTTAGGAGATGATTTTGCAATTATACAACAAGAAATTTTAATGATGAAAGATTGCAGACATCCCAACATAATTGCATATTATGGAAGTTATTTAAGAAGGGATAAATTATGGATTTGTATGGAATATTGTGGAGGTGGTTCCTTGCAAGATATATATCACAGTATGTTTCCCTTTTTGGTTTACAGATAATACATATTATGTCCTTTTGTTATCTGTAATTATAAAATTTGAATGGTATTTCAGTAACTGGACCACTATCAGAAATACAAATAGCATATATGTGTAGAGAGACTCTTCTAGGATTGGCTTACTTACATAGCATGGGAAAAATGCATCGTGATATTAAAGGTGCCAATATATTATTAACAGAGGCTGGTGATGTTAAATTGGCTGATTTTGGAGTATCAGCCCAAATTACTGCAACTATTAACAAAAGGAAAAGTTTTATTGGCACTCCTTATTGGATGGCACCTGAGGTATCTTAATATCTGGGATACTGTCAGATTCAAAGTTATCCTCCTAAGGATTGATGAAATATCCATGTACTTATGTTTCAAGGTTGCAGCTGTGGAAAGAAAGGGTGGTTACAATCAACTTTGTGATATTTGGGCATGCGGAATCACGGCAATAGAATTAGCAGAATTACAACCACCTATGTTTGATTTACATCCGATGCGCGCACTTTTTCTTATGTCTAAATCAGGTTTCAAACCGCCAACATTAAAGGACCGTGATAAATGGAGTCCAACATTTCATAATTTCGTTAAAATTGCCCTCACGAAAAATCCGAAAAAACGACCAACAGCCGAAAAATTATTGCAGGTTTTTTTCTCATTTCTTTTCGTATTTTGGTAGAAAAGTATTACAACTATGAAAGTTTAAATAAAAACTTTCATTCCAGCACGCATTTTTTCAAGGAGAAATGAGCAAACGTTTAGCTTTGGAGTTGTTGCAGAAGGTATCAAATCCTAGTCATATGTTTACTGATTTAGAAGCCGACGAAGACGGAGCTGTACCTAACGTACCGCAAAGGATAGCGTCTCGTCATACTGCAAGACCTAGACCAAAAAGCCCTATACCGCAGTTAGATAGTGATGGTAAACTACAACATATAGTGAACTCTTATATTGCCGGTTAAAATTGGCAATATAAAAAGAAAATCGGCGTGAAGGGAAACTCGTTCAACCGGCAATATAAAGAATCATAATATAGCGAGAGTTTACTTTGCTCTACATACTTCATTCTAATTTCTAAATATTAATTTCATTTACACATTCAGATCAGATTAATATTGATGGAACATTACAAAGAGACGTAATATCACCGTCCGTGGATACAAGTCCAGCATGGGATATTATGGATATCATGAATAATGTCAAGGTAATTCTAATTTTCTAAATAATATTTCCTGTAACATCATTATATTTTACAAAGTTATTTACCGTTCTGTTCCAATTAATTCATTTAGGCTGTTCATAATTGTGATGTTCATCCAGATTGTGGTATTGGTACTGCATTTGAAGATGTACAGGAAAAGTAAGTACATCTGAAATAAATATATTTTATTTTATAATCGTATGGTGGATATTCATAATGTGGGGGTGGCTTTATAATCCTTCCACTAATATGGTGACCACTGTTCTGTTCTATCTCCTTTTTTTGTAAATAAATATATATACGTACGGTATTGAGCATGGTAGGATTCCTCGGGTTTTGGGGTTCCTGGCCCTCGCCATATGCCTCTCCTTCAATTAAACGAAGGTGTATAGAACAAAACAGTAATTTTTTTTCTTATATCTATTAAGCTGCATATGGCACGCCTGCTTTTGCTTAATATATTATCTTAATTAATAATAATAAAATAGAGAATGACATTTTTATAAAAAGGATGAAACATATTAATTTAATACTTTAAATTTAATGCTAATTTAACTTTAATATGGTTTGCATATTTTTCATGATTCTTTCTGAAAGATTTCTAATTTACATTAATTTATGAGACGTTTCATAGACATGATATAGTTTATTTTTGTATCAGTACTCTTGGCGCTAACGTTACCACAGATAGTAGACTGTCGCGTCGAAGCAAAACAGGCACAGAAATATTTCATATGAGTTTAAGGTAATACATGTAAAAGAAGTGATTTTGTGTGAAGATATTGCTCAATTTTATACTTCACTTGGAAATTTAACGTTAATATTTAAATGTTTATTAATAAAATTAAAACTAAGATGCAATTTATTATAAACAATTTCTTTAGTTTTATAAGCAAGCTTTATTTTAAGTTTTTTAAACGTGTGATTTTCACTTTAGGTATGGATAAATTAACTTTGTAATTATATTTGTAGATTTTTGTATTTGCACGAACTTAATTCTTTTGAGCACTTTAACAATTTTTTATTTAACTTAATTTTTTTGTTAAAGTGCTGATATGCATTTTTCTAATGATGGAATTCTGCATGATAGTTATTGGTGTAAGTTATTAGAAATATTGCATGATTAAAATGAAAGTTCAGAAAGGTCTTATATGTTCATTGCTTCTTTTACGTAAGTATCGTTATCACATTTAATTCTCACATAAAGATCTTTTTGACTTCTTTAACTTTGTTTTTCACGATTGATATCATGTTTTACAAATAATTGTTTTTCCAATATATTGCATATCTGGTAGCAGATAAAAAAATGAAACTATACCTATGCCAGTATGTAACAGAGATAGATTTTTTGTATACCAGATGTGCTATATATTATACATTATAGATTATGTTGTATTTAAATTAAAAAACATATTTTACCTTTAAATAATACCTAACAATTGGAATTTAAATACTCCTTCTGGATATCAATGAGCAGGGTACTCTGCCCTTATGCATATTATGTCTAATCCCTATCCAAATTTCACAATTCATTTTAATCTTCATAGCTTTAATTTCTCTGATCAGTTTGTAATTTTAATAATTTCTCCCAACAGGAGTCTATTGCAGTACATTGATGAGGAGTTGTTGCTAAGGTATTGGCAGGTAACCCTTTTCCCTTGCACCTTGCACCTTTCACTTATATGTATTTCCTAATATCCTGCATAAAGCTATTTAGTTTTTATTACAGCTTCATACTAATCTATTCGTGTAATTTCCCGTTCTCTTTGTCTCTTCTATTGCATTCAAAAGCATTTGAATTGTTTAAATTGCTTTGTATCATTTGTTTCTCTTATTTTTCTTATGAAATAATTCTTCATGTACATGTCCTACAACACATATAATAAACATTAATGTTTGAGATACGTATGTAAATAATTTATATTTTAAAACATTCGTCGTATTTAATAGATATTCTTAGTGTTGTTCATTGCATGTGGGTTTCTTTAGAAAACAAATTAAATTGCAAGCCATATTGGTGGTGGAAGTTCATTTTTCTATTACAGATGTTACGATTTTAAACATATCATGTTTAAAGTGTTCCCTATAGGGTGATATTGATAACAAGTCAGGTACAATAAGAGCATTTACATTAATGCACTAACTACGACTAATTGTGTGTTATATAAAGAACAAAAATGTTGTATAATTGTCTTTTCCTGGAAAAATAAATTATCCACATAATAATCTCAAAGCACAAGTGAATTGCCTTGTACATAAACTTTTGTATGAGAATTTATTTGTAAAGTGGATCATCAAAGAATTTAATTGGGTCAATTACAAGAAATGAATGATTGTTTTATAGTATATGATTATAGTTTCATGTGTGCAGGGGGAATGCAATGTCAATGGTTGGTGGTCATTGTGACCAGCTATATTCCCTGCAGTAAGTAAAAGATAAAGTATAATAGTAGATTGCCTCATCTTTTGGTTGTAGATTCAGTTCAGTTATTCTTTTGTTATTTTCATTTAAAAGTAATAGCTGCTTCTTATTTGAAACGATTGTTTTGATAACTAATGTTGAGTCTGCTTAAAGTAATTTTTTAAAGAATTCTAATGGCAATATATTTTAGTTATTAACTGTTATACAAGGTGGTATAAAATAATAAATTAACATAAAAATCTACTTTTTTACACACTACAGTGTTTAGATACTACATACATATGATATTGATGACATATGTATAATGTATGTTAAGTCAAATATTTTAAAACCAACTTGTCCTTAAAAGTAATACAGTTATAAAATCTTCCTGCAAAACCTCTGTTGGTGAATATCCTATATTAATGTATTCAGTCTTTTAACATTTCTTGCTTAAATGTTTTATTCTTTCAATACAGCACTCTAACATATTGTTCTTTTTCTTTTACAAGGCTATTTTTTTGATATTATTAATAATATTTTTCAATTTATTTTATAGAGATTATCTATAAGTTACTAACATTTATTTTTACTCAGTAATTGTTCTAATACCCATTCTTGTATTGTATATGTTATACATTAATATTTGCTGGTATATTTCTTTTTTCCAGAGCCACACTCCCTCTTGGAGAATCATCGAATGATTGTGAAGTGCATTGTTCATACTATAACATGTCAGGTAAGAATAAATTTGTATAAGAAATATATCTATCAAATTAAATGTATAAAGAAGTTATCTGCAAAGAAAGACTCTAAATGGTTTGAGTGAATTGAAGCTGTAGTATAAAAAGTAGATTCGGTACGTAGGATCTCAAGCAAGTCCCAGGCGTCACAGCTCTGTGGACGAGTTGTATGGTTTGGTGAGCAGTACCCAGTCTTTAGCCGCTGTTAATGGACAACGTCAACGGTCTCTCTCGGACAGTTGTCCTAGAGACGAATCCCCACAATCTAATGGTAGGAGCACGATTGTTTTAAACTCCTATTATAATTACTGAATGCAAATAAAAACGAAAATAGGATTCATTCTAGAGTCGCGATTGAATCGATTAAAAGCAACTTTCTAGAATAGTTTCAGATTAAAGAAACGTTTTTTAGGTCAGAACGAAGTGCCAAGCGATGGGGATAGAGAAAGTATGAGTCCAGATTTATTATCTGATACTCCGCCTGTCCCTCCAAGAAGAAGGGACAGAAAACGTCACACACCGCCTAGACCTATTAGCAATGGACTGCCACCCACACCCAAAGTTCACATGGGTGCATGTTTCTCAAAAGTCAGTGTAATTTATATTCATTCTACTTGTATCATTTTTGCAAGATTAATACTTTAGGGTAAGCAACATAAAATGAACATGTTTATTTAGGTATTCAATGGGTGTCCGTTAAGAATACATTGCACTGCAAGCTGGATTCATCCAGACACAAGAGATCAGCACTTATTAATTGCAGCAGAAGAAGGAATTTATAACTTAAATCTAAACGAACTCCATGAAACTGCAATTGATCAATTGTATCCTAGACGTACAATATGGATGTATGTCATTAAGGATGTGCTCATGTCTTTGTCTGGTAAAATATTATTAAAGTTGCATTTGAAATTTTACGTTTCTATTGTGGGAAATATAAAAATGAGTAAACAAATTTTAGGGAAAACTCCTCAATTATATAGGCATGATCTATTAGCCATGCAAAGCAAACAAAGCCATAGGTTTTCATTGCACATGAACAAAATACCGGAGAGATTAGTACCTCGAAAATTTGCTCTTACTACTAAAGTCCCAGATACAAAGGGTTGTACTAAATGTTGCGTTGGTAGAAATCCATATAACGGGTAAGTAAATAAATTTTAGTGTAATATTACATTGAATATAATATCATGCATATTACAGATATAAGTATCTCTGCGGTGCAATGCCAACGGGAATATTTTTAATGCAGTGGTATGATCCACTCAATAAATTTATGCTTTTAAAACATTTCGATTGTATATTACCAACACCATTGAATGTATTCGAGATTATTATTACACCTGAAATGGAATATCCAATGGTGTGTGTATCTGTAAAACAACCATATCAACAAAACAAATTAAAATTGGATTTAATTAACATGAATTCGGGAGCAAGTTGGTTTCACAGTGATGAACTGGAAGATATGGATGGTTCAGGTACACTGTTATTTATAATTAGACATTAATTATACGTTTTTGAAACGTTGTAAATATGATTAATAATACTGTTGCAGCTACTGTGATACCAAGAAGAGAAAATCTTCATGTTATTAATGTTACACAACTAGAAAAAAATGCAATACTAGTGTGTTATGATAGTAAGTGTATCATAGCGCAAATAAGCAAGTATTGCTTCAGTCTATGATTTATTCTTAATTATATTTTACAGATGTAGTAAAAGTGGTCACGTTACAAGGAAGACCTAGATCAAACAGGAAGCACATGTCGGAATTACATTTTAACTTTCAAATTGAATCTATCAGTAAGTTTATTCTCTCTTATATAACGAGTATTGAAATATTGATTTTATCAGCAATTATGTGTTTGTTAGTCTGTTTACCGGATAGTGTACTGGCATTCCATAAGCATGGTATGCAAGGTAGAAGTTTAAAAAATGGTGAAGTTACACAAGAAATCAGTGATCCGAGTAGAACATATAGATTACTTGGATCCGATAAGTACGTATTATTATATTAAAGAAATTTATAATTTATCCAAATATAATTAACGTGCAAATATTATGTTCTCGAAAGGGTTGTAATGTTGGAAAGCCATTTGGTTCAATCAGGCACACTAAACGAATCCGAGGGAGCGGACTTGTACATACTTGCTGGACACGAAGCCAGTTACTAAGTTTCATCTTCAATTGTAAAATGTGCAAATGCAATGTGTCGCAAGTGAATTGTGATTTCCATTGACTGCGTGTAAAGTAAAATATGTGGACTGTACTGAGAGGCAGTGGTTGATGTTGGTAAGAGAATAGTTAATTATCCTGTTTTAAAGTACATACGAATACGGATGTACTTTAGTACACATACAGACACAAACATATACACACATCATTCGTCACTGTTCTCCATATAGTCAATGCTGCATAGACTGGTTATTTACCGATAACTTTTTAACGAAGACAAATTTAGAATTAGTGATCTTTAAGGTCTAACTAAGGAAAGATCACAAAAGGAGACAGATTATTAAAAAGAAGTATGATATATTTGAAATATGTAAATTTGCCCCTATGCCTGACAAAATAAAGCTTATACTTGTCGAATCTTATCTCAAGAAACGTTCAATGCTAAATTGCAAGTGTAAAATTTATATTCTCTCGGTATATGTTGTAATGACTGTCTGTAAATCATAGATCTAAAGCTTAATTAAAAAGTTGAAAAATTAAATTGAGAAAATTTTAAACTTATTTTAGAATACATTCTAATTCGTCTTATCATAAATAAATGATGTTTACTTGTAGATATACGAACATTTATATTTTTAGAATGGTTTTTAGATTGTATAATAACACAAAATATCTCTACATCTTGAACATAAATTAATTACATCGTCGTAAGCTTCTTATCTTTGTACACCTCTAATAAGATATTGGCCAAAGGTAGTTTAAGTAGATTAATATATATTTGAACATTAAATAGCAACAAAGACAACGATTTAAATACAAATTAGTTACCGAATATATAAAAGCAATGATACTTATTAAATGTCAGCCCTAAATACGTATATTTTTCCTGAAAAAAGATAGAATAAAATTGAAATATACGAATTCAATGCAATATATCCTATGCTTTTGTATAAGTTTTACTTTGGTAGGCATTGGGCTTTTGCATAAAAATTATTTTACTAAGACATTGCGTTCATCAGTGTCTCTAATTTTGGACGATTGTACTATAAATATACAGTATAAATTGCAAAGTAGTTTATGATGGCAATCATAAATTATTTATTTTAAGAAGTATGTACGGGAATGCTTAACAGTTATAATTCATTCGTATATATCCAAAACGATATTTTTTACTAAATATGTAAATTCTTTTAATTATAAAATCCACAAAACGTTTTAAGTTATCTAAGTAATTATCAGATTTATGAATGGTGATTGAAGTTAAAAAAAAAAAGAAGTTAAGGTCAGAACAATATTCCACCCATTTATTTAGCTTATTGTAGGAATATTATGCCTATAACGGGTATATTATATGAATTTAAAGTTCAAAACTATATGTCTATATATTTGGAAAGGAATTTATTTCCGTAATTAAACTATAAATATTTATAAAATTAGTACTTTCTGAAAAGTAACGAAATTAAATGCATTTTGTGTGATTGGTTTTTAAGACTGGGAGAAATATTTCTCATTTGCGAAAGACTTTCTTAATACATGAACAATGTATTCAGGAGGAAGAGTGCTGGATAAGATAGAATTTAAAAAAAAAAAATATTTTATGCAAAAATTACACCGAGTGTTTGCTTTTTAACAATTGAGATTTCTTTTGTTTCGTTATCATAATTAGTATTACTTGATATTTATAGCAACATAATATAGCTTACATCTTTTCTTAATGAACTATTTAATTACATGATTAAAAAGAATATTTTCCAATTAAATCTTTCATTTGTATTAAAAGTGATATATTATATAATTTAATAATACTCATTTCACATTTTGTTCACAGTATTGTACATTAAAATAAGTAAAAAAAATGATGAACTTATATGCAGTTTTTGCAATAAAAAAGAAAAAATTATATCAAGTAGCATAAAATAAAAGACAAATTAATTAATCGTTAGTTTAGAAGTAAGTCTAAAACTAAGTTCCATTTTTGTCTGAAGTAAGACACTTGGAATTTCAAATGATTAATAAAATTCAAATCGGAAAAAATAAAAATATTTCTTTTAGAACAATGAAGAATTCTATTTTAGCGTTAGCATCAATTAAATTAGAAATATCTAAATTTAATGTAATTTGACTAGAAGTACTAATAAAGCATTGCTTGATAGTATTCATAAGCTTTTTAAAATCTATAAGAATATTATATAAACATGAGAAAGCTCAAGATGCAGTTATTATGTTCAATTACATTAATTAAATAAATTAAATATTTATTTGCTAAGGTTCTTTAGGATTATTAGATTTTAAAATTAAGTAGTGTTCTAGCACTTTTCCATCCATTGTCAATACATTGATATCTTACAAGTTAAAGTGATTGCTTTATCATGGCAGGGATGAAATGTGAGTTGAACTAGGAAGGATTGACAAAGTAAAATTATCTTGGAAATGTTAAAATATTTTGGTATTTTATATGAAAATTTGCTGTGTAAATAAAAAGTAGACTATTAAAGAAAGTATTATGCTATTAAAGGTTTACTATAATAACGGTATATTATAGTAAATAGTATTTGACTGCTTATTGCTTATGATAATATTACTGCATTATGGTGAACAATTATGTTATATAAAATGAGTTTATAGTGAAAACATAAGTGGTATAATATACACTTCTGTATGTGTTCAATACTAATTTTCTTACATTCCAATATTTGAACTGAATAGAAAAGTTTATAACTATTTAATTGCGTTTCTTTTGTTTTCTTCTTAATTTTTGAAGATGTGTAAGGTAAATACATTACACAGCATTGAAATATTAATATTTTTTTAAGCTTCTCAGACATATATTTATACCACTTATGTGCATAATTTAACATTTAATGATACTATGAAATTCAACAAAATTGTTTAGCAAAAGAATATTTTATGCTGACAATGTCTTATAGAATTGAAATGATTGTGTTCAAATATGTCCAAGATAGTTCACTTTATCATTTTAAATATCACTCTTGTCTTATATATTATCTTTCAGTATCATTTTTAAACATTTCCACTTGCACACAAGTTGCACAAAATGATAATTGATTACACGAAATCTAATTATTTACAAGCATGTATTCGTTATACACATATTAAATATAGTCATACATTTGAACATTAAATTAATAGGAATTTTCAAAGTATCTGCAATGTTAGTAAATTTTTTAAAATAATATATTGTATAGAAAGAGACTCGGGTTTAAAGACAAGAGAGATGTTTTTTTCAGGGAATATGATTAATTAGATTCGTGTTGCAACACATTTACATCCATTTGTGTCAGCAATTTAGTATGCTATTACAATCAATGCCTGAGCAATCAAATACAAAGTATTTAATCAAAGACAGCTTGTTTGAGAATTCGTCTCGTAAAAGAAGTATATAAAGCAATGTCTTCCCTGTATTTGCTATTAAGCATATACCAATAGGAGATGTTAAATGCTTGTCATGTCAGCATTTAAAAATGAATGAATTATTGTTTAGTAATTAGTATTTGAATCTCCTTTGTTGCATTAAACTACAGATATTTATAGTTTTTCTAGTTTGTTTATGTTCCTTTATTCTCAAGCATTTCAAAAGTAAATGATTTTCATTAAACAAATTGATAATCAGTATCTTCCTGAATTTTAAATGAAGTTAAAAAAAACCTGTTTTATAAATTTGGAAAATAAACCAAAAAAAAAATTGTATAAGGGTGTGATATAGATTATTAGAGCCAGTGAAAGATGAAAATTCTATATAACATGCTTTTCAAGCTGTTTAAATGAACGCATGTATAGAAATATAACTACATTGGTAATGTAGCCAGGAAGAAAGTTTATTTAGCTAAATATAAATAACTTACTGATTTTTTATCTTTGTTTAATTTCATATATAAAACATTTAATTAGCTATTATATTGCTGCATAAAGCATTCATACAGTAGAGTTGAATACTTATTTCACTGATATTATAAATAATTACAGTGCAACGTTACCTGGCAAATTTTTGTATTATTGCAATGACAATAATTTCATTCATGGTATCAAACGTACATCGTAAAAATAATTAAATGTATATTGGCTAAATCCAAAGGAAGAATACTTACAAATAACAGCAGCTGAAAAAAGATATTAAAAGACAAAAAAAAAACACATAGTAATTATACATATACTGTATGGCAGACCAATTATTAGAAGACATAAATTTTAGTAGACACAGAAACTCAGAAACATTTTACATGCAGATTTTACATATCCATATTCTAATTATGACCACAAAATTTTAAATATACCTCTGAGAGTGTTTTGTTGAATGTAGTGCATAGCTGAAAATACTTAATTTTTATTAAATCTTCATGTATATGTATAGTGTGTGAATTGAACCATCAGTATATGAGCATTAAAAACTCCATAAAAAGTTTATATTTATATACAATTAGCACTTTCAATGCAAAAGAGCAATATTTTTAATGTCTCACACAATAATAATATATTATTATTAATGATAGTAAACACAAATTAGAACAATAATTTCATATTCTTTTATGTTATAAACTTTGTATGTTATATTTTAAAAGCAACAGTTTTTTATTTAATTCACACACATACACAAAATGTAGATTCTCATAGTGGTAGGACAACTAGTACAGCGATAAAATGTACCTGTCCATATTGACCAGATCAGTGGCTTTGCCTCTAACTTATGAATGGAGATAGAAAATTTGTCTAACAAAACTGTAGGACTATGTTCATGAAATTATAAAAAAAAAAAAAAATTTGTTCATTGTTGTATTTTATTAAAGGTCAGTATGAGTAATTTAAGTAGAAAAGAGAAAGAAGAGAATGATGTTCTTATTAAAATAAAATTCAATAATGAACAAATTTGTTTCTTGTAAGTTTACGAATAAATTTCTGTTAAATTCTTAAGTTATTATTTGTTTCTAATTGATCCTGAAAGCGACTAACTTGTTTCACTTTTTGTTGCAGAAAGAATTTTTGTTTTCTTTACATAACATTAATCAATGAAACGGGTAATATTATGCCTTTTATGAAAAACAGGGTCGTTTTCAGGATTTAAGGATACTACAGATTTTCACAGGTGCTGTTTCATTATTGTTAAGTTAAAATAATTGTAACCGATTCGACGTTTTTATTCAGCTATGTATTATGTTTTTTTACGAAAGTGTGCGTAAGAGAAGAATATTTTAAGAGATAAGATCATATTGTAAAAAAAATGATGAAACGATTTAGAGAGAATGAGACAAAGAGATACGAAATAAAAGAGAGATATATATATATAAGTATAAATACATATATATATTATATATTTAATAAAGTTTGAGGGAGAAAAGCAAGTGTAAGTTCAAAGAAGATTAGCGTGAATAACGATTTCGCTGTTTTGCGCGGTTACAACGGAGAAACTATAAAGATTGTCAATATGTTAATAGTGCGTTATTAACCAAAGCTTTAGCTACGAATAGAAACGACGATTTAACGGAATTATTCTTGCAAGTGGAATCACCGAAAAAGCATACCGTTGTCGTATAAATGAATTACAGGTTTAAGGAGTTTCTTAATGCGATGTTGTACAAGAAAACAAGATAACGGTATCGTTACAAGTTTTCCATTTCTTTAAGACAGTGTTTTTCAAACGTTCCTTTTAATATAGAAATCTTAAGCATTTTAATTTCATATAATAATTCATGAAGTGGTTGTTATATTTTCATTTTGTTACTATGTTAGGAAGATTATTTTTTTGTACAACATCTGCTGCAGAAACTCAGTAAACAAGATATGAATCTTAATTTATTCTCTATATTTAATATTCATAATCGAAACTAATGATTGATCAGAAGACTTCTTCTGATTAGAGGGCAGACTCTAATTCAAGATAATACTACAATTAAATGTATCATATAGTTACTACGGTTGTATATAATGTGTATAATGAATAATCTTTTTTTTTTTTTTTAGTTCTCCGAGCTTTTCTCATCTTTTAGTCATTTTTGTTTCATTTTATATATATACATACAGTATTGCGTAGCTAACTTATGATGGACATTGTATATCATTTACTCTTGTATCTGTAAACACGACTAGCTGAAAATCTCTTGTAAATAGACATTTCTCTTAATAAAAAACCTACCTGAAGTAATATTTGGATCTACCTTTGGATATAAACCCCCGGATGTTACTTTTGAATCCTTTCTATACATTTCATATGTATTAATATGGTGCAAGAGGTACAATTAATAATTTGTTTGTAACATTTTTATCGAATGAAAGAAATTACAAAAAATGAGAACGAGTATTGACAATAATTAAATTGATTTATTGCAAAAAAACTAAATTCTTGTGTTTAGTGTAATTGCAAATAAATCATACACTCATTTAGTATCATGAGGTGATTATTGTCTATGTAACATTAAATATATCGCGTTCTTGTTTAATATAATTAAACAAAAATAGTTAACTCGTTAGGTTCTAAAAATAAATAAAAAATAAAAGTCGGCCTTTCTGATCTACACAAACGAACCTGTTTAGCGTTAAAAAATAATTGCTCGAATCCTAACGAGTTAATGAAAGTACATCGACGCTTAGAATATTCAGTCGACATGCCTAATCATCTGCAATAGCTTGACTAACAATGTTAAAATATGAAAATTTTCTTGGTAAAACTCTGCAACAATACAGGGTGATTGTAACTTTTAGATTAACAATTTAACATATATTTTATTCAAATGTGTTTTATTCAAATACTTAAGCTCGCAAATTTTTTTTTTTTATGAATAAATATAAAAAGACTTAATTACCCTGTATTGTTAATATGAAATTTATATATGACACGGATTAAATATGGACATACCTTAATTGAAAGTATCGCTTGTAGTGTCTCTCTATTTACCGCTAGTTTACATGATATGTCAAAACGCTTGGCAGTATTTGTTTCAATCTTGTACCATACTTTCAACACTAGAACCTCGTATCTGGGCAATAGTTTACACAAGGCACAACTAGTATAAAGAGAAACTTATTGAAAATCTCGTGCAAAGATTAATGTTAGCAATAAAATGAAAAAGAAAAAACAAAAAAATGGCATACCTGAAAATGAATGAAATATAAAAATTGTAATCTACTTTCATGGAAAGTCCCTCATTATGTACATATCATGTTTTCCAGTGCAGCATCTGAATTTACTTAATATGTATCCTGCTCATTCTTTAACAATTCCCTTGTACTAATAAAAAATATAATCTCAAAGATTTTGCTTTGGAGATCAATCGAAGATAAAACTTTGGACAACTGGACAACGACTACTTGACCTCTTTGAACATGCTTTCTTATAGTTTTAGACAAACATGGAATTCACGCGTTTCAAGTCCCAGTTATAAAATTTGTACAGTTTCATTGGTATGAATTACGTTTCAACGTGACCCTGGAATTGACCCACTATCTTTCTTACCCAGCCTGCTTGACTCTGTCCTGCCGACACATCGTCTTTTTCTTCACTATTATTCTGCGCACAACTATTCTGTAAAATGCTTTTAGAACACTGATACGTTATTGGATCTTCGGACAAAGGGGATCTCACTGGAGATTTACAGTCTGATTCATGTTGTCCCTTTAAGAACACTGACTTCACTTTCAAATAATCGGGCTTTTGAGCAACGCTTGGTTTGGGTTTCATCGTCGAAGCATTATAAGAATTCAACATCGTGGTTGACTCTGTTCTCTTTTTAGCAGGGATTGGCGGAGCTACTTTGCTCTTGAACGGTGCACATTCCTCTGAGGGTTGACCGGAAAGAGGCCTGGCTACCAGAACCTCCTCGATGTCGCTAAATATTGCACTATCCCGGAACGTGTCGTCCACGTCAGCGTCCACGTAGTTTTCAATCGTTTCGAATGATTTCTCGTAGAAGCTGTCCGTTTCGCTTTCCCTGTTCTCCACGCTCTCCTCCACGTCCTCCTTCTTTTCCTGATTAGCTTCAGAGGAATTATTCGCGAGTTGGCCAAGGCGTTTACTCTCCGAGAACAATATGGAAGGGTCTGCATAATCAGACTGAGCGATACGAGCACCTAAACCCGAGCTTCCCTGCTTGTAATACAGCGAAGGGATCCTTAAATCGGAAGATCCCCTCGCTGTACATCCTACAAGCTCTTCCACATCCGACGATGACTCCCTCGAATGTTTTAATTTACTCTTCTTCTTCAACTTACCTGTACTTAAAGAGCGAAAGTACTTGGTCCTTTCTAATTCCTCGTTGCATTCCAAGGTTTCTGTGCTCATTGTGTTCCTTAAACCCTGAAGACGGTTCCCAGCTTTCGAGAGGACGTTTTTAAAAATGGTGCTTCCATTAGCGTTTGGCCTGTAGATCTTGTGATCCGGATGGATGTTGGTGGTCGTTGACGTCACGTGAACCTCCGAGTAAGCATCCGTCAATGTATCGTCCAAGGAACAGAAGAAGGTGGAAGTAGAAGTTGATGATACCGATGTAGGAAATTTAGCGATCCTTCCTTCTGGTTGACAGGCTGAAGCGTATCTCTCCATATCTTCCAAGTTAATCTCAGCCGGTTTATCAGAGGCTATCGTGAAAGGTCTTTCGCTCATTGGCTTACCATCTCTCTGCAAGAACCGTGATTTCATTACGTTCTGATTGGAATTGGGATGAATTTGAAAACTGCGCGGAAGAGAGCCGCACTTCTGAGGAGAGGTAGGTAGTCCTTCGCATAGTTTGGTCAGCCAGACAGCTGGTCGGGTCGGACTATCGTTCCCGTCTAAACCTTTCTCTTCCTGCAAACCCTCCCAAACGTGTTGCAAGTTGTCGTAGTTTCCAAAACCTTTGTTGGATTGTGTAACTGCTTGGCTGGTATCCTCGTTCGTGTTGTCACTATTTATAGTCACTTCTTTATCATTTTCTGTTACCTGAATTTCAGTTTCGTTTGGAACAGTAGTATGATTCACAGGTTCTTCGCTCCTGGACGTTGAGTTCTCCCTTATCCTAAGCGCAGTTTGGATGATCTTACTTTCAGTCACGATACTTTGCCTTTTAAACGCATCGAACAACGCTTTCTTCTCTTGCACATGATTCATCCTGTTTTTTGAATTACTTTCAACTGATTTATTATTCTCAGTCTTGTTTAAGTTATCGTAAAGTAATTGCAAGGTGGGCTGGTGATCTCGCGTAGAGGATAAGGAATTCAAAGTGTTGTTTGTTTTAACAAGCCTTTCACGATGGCCTGCGCGGATACGCGATATCCTGTTGTTAACTGAATTATCGGTGATGTAATTCGTGTTCTCCGAGTCGCTGTCATCGGACGTATCAGCAGAGATACGTTTATTGAAACGCTGCTGCTGCCTGACATTGAGTATACTGTTCGTTCGCTGCTTCTCGAGGAGCTTTTGAAATTCTTGGTTCTGCATGAGGATATGGCCAACTATTTCCTCGACCGTCTGTGCTTGAGTCTGTTGTTCGTTGTTCTCTTTGGTTTCTGGCGGCGGAGAATTTGCGTGCTTATCGTTTTCAATGATCGCACACTCGGTTTCGACCGTAGCTGACCCCGTGTCACACGTATCTTCTTTTTGCTCCTCGTCAGACTGATTGAGACACACGTAAGATTGGAAACCTGGTTCCGATTTTCTTCTCCAACCGGTAAAGCGATCCTAAGCAGAAGATAATCAAAATGTAAAGTAACTACGAAGCAACTACATATTTCTAACGTATACCTTGACTTTTGATCCGCGTCCATCCGAAGACCTAAGACCTTGCTCTCTAGAATCGTTAATATTCGAATCGTCGTTTTGATTTTTTCGTGGCGATGCTGGAGAGTCCTACGCGAACGTTAAGAAAAGCAAATTGAAAAAAATATAACTGTAAATGTGAAGATTTATAAGATACTTACCTCAGTTGTAGTCTCAGACTTTCTGCCACTCTTTTTAAATCTCTGTCTAAGCCCGGTTTCAGACCTACGTCTTTCTCTTTCCTGTTTACGTTTCTCTAAATACTCTGGTGGCGCTGAGTGTTGCTTCTTCGCCGATCCTCTATCCGCTAAAGCATCATCTATAATAGTTTCGTTAGAATTATATATTCTATGTCAATTAAATGATTTCTCATACACACCTTCTGGCTGTGTCTGACCAAGTTGTAAAACTAATTGTCGCGCGTGCAATGGTATCTCTGCGTTATAGTTTTCAAGAATTACCCTTTTTATTAGCAATGTCCATTCTCTTTTTTGCTCCAAGTTTCGTGCCTAATACAGATAAGGACAGTACAGTCAATTACAATTAACGAATGTATAAATAAACAAAGCGACGCGTTTTACCTGCAACGTGTATTGCAGTCGAGGATTATCAAATGGGATCACATGAAAGCTAAGAGACTCTCCTGGTATGCTCTCAATGAGCATTAAGTTTGAACACTGTAAACATAAAATTACCAAACGATTTAGTATTTGTTATAATGTTACCGTTTATTCAGAAAAGGGGATGTACCATGATGTGAGCTTTATAGACTAGAAGTCCATCCTCCTTTTTCTTGGTGAGCAGGAGCATACGATCGAACAAGAAAACGTGCCTAGGAGCTTTAGCTCCTCGAATTCTGAATCGTCCTTCCGCCACCAGTTCTCCACTCGTGGTTAAATCTGGACCAGACCAGCCATACAGAAGCGACTGAATCTCTTGAACACGCACCGCGTGCTCGTGTCGTCGTTTCATAGCGTTAATATGCCTCGCGATCCCAGTCATCGCAGCGAGAGCTGCCTCGATCGCTTTGCTTCCTTCAGCCTCGTTTTCTCGTAACTCACAATCCGCGCCGTACTCTTTCGACAAGTTCTATAAATTGAAACGATATTCAGATTGATACGAAGACTTACAAGTTCTCCTGTTGACGTATAATCACCTCCAGAAGTAAATGATACTTAAGGATCCTTTGAACAGGCTTAAGAAGAAAGGATCCAAGAGGTAAGGCGTGTCCTAGCGCAGCTTGTCTTTCTCGAAACGCGTTTGCAGTCTCTTCTTGACCCATTAGATCAGTCAAAACAGAAACTGTCCTGAAATGAACTGCATTAATTTCAAGCTGAAATTGAAGGCTACTAGAATGCATTGGTATTGATAAATAGTTGACTGAAATTTTAATCAAGATACACTATCGTTTGACGTTGTTTAGTTTACCTTGGGTAATTGGTACAGTATTCTGTGTACACTTTGAACCCCGAGTTATGCTTTATAAATGTGTTTGCCACGCAAACAGGATCCAAACCACATTTCTCAATTTCTTTCAGGAACTCTCTGAAATTCAATTGAATTGTTTAATATAATCCAGTGTGAAAGGAAAGTATCCTTTAACTAATTTACCTATTGAATTCAAATATATCCTCGATATTACTAAATAAGTCACTCAGCTGCATTTGATGCACGAACGATGCCGGATCGTTTCTCCAATATATAAGGTAACCCTGGAAAACCAACGAATTGAATTTTCTCCTATAAATCAACATGAAAAGACCTAGATCGGACAAAGATATACCTGAATTACTTGTCGCAGATGTTCCACGTATATTGCTTCAGTGTCAACTATTTCTAAAAGTACCCTTTCCATAGGGTTTCGATGGGGATCACAGTAACGTGGCCTGTGACACGGTGAACCTGCTTCCACACAGTTTCTTCTTTGCCCAGTGTCATCGTTTCCTATTCGACAATTGGTCTCTGATACCGTCACTACTCCACTGTCTCCAGAACCTGTTCAAATTATTCATTCCGATTACCCTATAAATTATTTCATCAACTTTTAAAGAACCTGTGGAAATATTTTAGAAATTCGTTTCCTCGTGGATCAACCGAGGCAGATTTCAAGGACTAAGACTTTCTCTCCGCTGTAGCGTAATCAACAGCAATGACAGTAATGATAGCAGCGGTGGCAATAAACTTCTCTCTCGGCATTCCGTGGTCATCGTTAAGGAAAACCTTACCACCGCTTGAATAGCGGTTGCACGAACGAACGAGTGCACTTTGGAAGGGCTGATTAAAAATGTTTCGCTTTCGTTTCGCGAGGATACTTTTTACTTGCAGCAAGTTTTTCTAATCTCACTGGTCGCAATAGCAGGAAGATCAAATGAAAACTCAACGAGAGGATGAAGAAATTGAACAAAGCAAACAGAGCCTCCTCACCTTGAGAGCTGGCACAAGTGTCTGCCAGAGACTCGACGGACGTCAAATAAGGATTGCTGGTGCAAGCGTTCCCCTGGTTACTGCACCCGCTGGAGGAAGTGCTGGACGCGACTGAACTCCCTGACAACGGTCTTCCAGCGTTCCTGCATCGTCTGTTGTACCTAAGCGGCGTGAGTCCATTGCTCTCCCGTCTGTAAGGTTTCTCCTCGATTCTGTTGCACTCGTTTCGTTCCTCTTTACGACTAGTCTCCAGCGTTTGGAAGGCGTTATTCTCTTTCTCAACTAGCACGAAATCCTCTTCCACCACCACGTCCACGTTGCTATCCGCCACCGTCTGCTCGTTCATCGCGTTCTCCTGCTGTGATTTCGCTAATTCCGGATAGAACGAGCCGAATATGGAGCCACGATGGGACACCAGGCTTAGACGCTTCTGCAGAACCGGTGGTATGTTGCAGGACGATGGAAGGACTACGTGATCGGGGTAGCCATTGCCGCTACGGGCGAGCTCGTCGAACATGCCCAGGAGCTGGGACACCAGGTCCGTGCTGGTTCCTGGAACGAGAACAGCGAACAAGGTTATCGATGGATGGAAATTCTATTCTCTTTCGAAAGGCCGCGTTGCACCCAAGTGGGTTATTATTATTCCCTTTTGGTACGAACCCACCCAAATTCGCGTGCATTGGAGGTATTGCAAGAAGAGCTTTCGTTTGTTACCGATATCAGAGGGTGATGCACAGTGTCTGGCTAGGAAACACCGTGTGCTTTTACTTGCACGCTTCGCGAAACATAACAATATCGTGTAAACAAACGAGCTGCCCTGATGGTTCCCAATTCCCCGTGAAGCCAGGCGTGGTGCACCCTGGGTCCAATGAACCTGTCCACGTTCACGCTAACACAAGCAGACTTTTTTTGCATTTTCCATGCTGCAGCTGTGATCCGATGAGAAAGTTGCGAGTAAAAGTGTACACAGATGATGCTTCGTTCTTTCGAACGATTCAGTCGGACTCGTTTTTCACGGTAATTCAAATAAATTTGTAACTTTTGCGATGAAATTTCAAATCTCGAGCGAGGTAGATCGTTTCTGATTGGTATACAGAAGAAAACCGAGGATCGGAGGAAGTTATTCTTCGGAGATTTCCAGCTGTCGGAATATAAATGCATACAGCGTTCATAAAGAACGCGCAAAGAAAGCAAAGTATATTTTTGCACGTTGAGATTTATCGATCGGCCAATTTGCTGCCAGTCATTTATAACCGCAGCAGAAAGCAAAACACTTGTTACTTCTTTCATTTTTCTTTCGTCTCTTCGGACTTTCATAAATAACAAAACTCATCGTGAATGGGTTAATTTAAATGGACAGAGGACTGAAGGATGAGGTGGAACGTTCGAGATAGAAAAGTAAATAACAGTATCTTCGGAAAATGTACGGAGGATGGGATGATCGCGAAAAGCTAAGCATTGGCTCGATTCCTCGAGCAAAGACCCTCTCATCTCCCTTCTTTTCTTTCTCGTCTCCGCTGCTTTCCGCTTTGCTCTGCTTCGCTCATTGCTGGCCATATGCGTTCCTCTTCGATCGCGATGTTGCACTTGGCTGGAAGTCGGCTAATAATAGAACGGGACCAACTTTCGTCTTGGCTTCGCGTGCATCAGCTCGGTTTCCTCGCGCCTCGCGGCTGTCACGTCCTGGACCGATGACACGATTCGGACTTTTACCCGGCAACCAATTGACCAGCTTCGTGTTTACTTATTCGTCCTCTTTCGCCGTCCTCTTCGTGGGAAATGTCGGAAATCGTACGGGTCTGCTACCAATCAGCCCCCCTCTGGGTACGTTGAACTTTGATGGCACGAGGAACCGCCAGCCAGGCTGACATTCGTACGGTTTTTATCATGAACCAACGGCAAAGGAATCTTTGATTATTTTTCCATAAAGAACTTACAGTTTTTATACAATTTTACAAACCCTTCGCTTTTTTTTTTAAATACCCTATATACGATGGATTCAAGGAAGAACCAGCCGTTTTATGTCATGAAATCTCGGTAAAACTTTCCGTGTTTCGAAATCAGCTGATACAATACCTGAAGATTATACCACGATGAGCTGGCTCGATTAATTAACCGTGTATAAATTAAAACGCAACAGGCTGTCGAGTTACATGCAAATCGAAAGCATGAGTTTCCCAGCGATAATCATTTTCACCGGCAAGAAAGAACATCAATGCGAGTTTGTTAGTCATCGTCCGTTGTCATTCCCGTTGCAACATCCAACGATGTTGTTGTTGCTGCTGCGTTGACTCACAGCAACGTGGCAGGCATACAGAAACCAGCCACTCGAGACCTTTCAATGCTCGTGCCTATTACTTTTCGTCAATGAACCGACGTTTCCCTTTCTTTCGACCCCTCGATCGCTATTTTTGCCGTCGATCGTTCGACCAAACTCGACGTCGGCCAATCCGTTTTTCCTATGGGTCGTTCAACTCGTTTCGTGATCTATAAACTCTGACGCGATTTGATCACATAAAAGTATTACAAAATAGCACTCACGGCATACCAATTTCAAGCTTGAAGTTTAACAAAAACGACTACATAAAGGATTCGTTGATATTCTCGATACAAAATGGCTGCTTCTTTGTTGGAACGCACCATTAGCAAATATACAATTTCCAATCGTTCATGGAGGACCAGCCATTTTGTACGAAGAATTTCAACGAAACCTTTACGTAGTCATTTTTGTCAGAGTTTAAGCTTTAAATTGATACATCGTAAATGCTATTTTGCGATACTTTTCTGTCATGAATTCTCTACTTAAAAGACCGCTTGCTCTTGAAAGAAAATGGCAAGCCAATGAAATCGTTGTTAAATTATAGGCTTTCTTCGTACGTAGAATGTTGAAAAGAATGCATTCCGATTTCCCCTCCGTTAGTCACGTAAATGGTCCGGTTAGGAACACGTGTGGTGTTTGTTTTACGGTGTCCAGGTGCGAGGCTCATAGAAACCTAGAATCTATCGCTTCTGCTTGCATCACGACTGAATCGATCCTACGTAAGCGAATAAAATGTATTAATTTCATTCGTCGGCTAATCAAAAGAATTTCGTTTTCCCTAAGATTAAAAAATCAAGCTGCGACGTATTTGATAACCGGAAAGAGAACCAGGCCTGCTACGATTTAATATTAGACTTGGCTAGCTGAATTGATAAAAATAATCTAGCATACCGAAGAACCTTCTTTTTGATATTGAAAAAGTATGCATTAGTCGATCGTAGGCTAATTCCGGTGATTAAAAGCGAAGCAGTGCCTTCTGTTTAATAGACTATTATTAGACTCGTTAGAAAGAGTCTGTCTAATCTCTGGTAAATTATATCTTCCAGGAAATGAATGTTTCATTTTCAGTTTCACTCTGAAATTATAAGATTTTAACACTTTGGAAGGCTTCTGTTACAAGCTGAAAAGGTCAATAACCGACTGATTCGTTAAATCATTAAAAGGACCCACGAAGCATAGAGTTCCGTAAAAGAAGATCAATTAACGAGGCGTTAAGTAGGCGATGGAGAAAGCGTTAACCGAAGGGATATTAGAAGACGATAGAAAAAAGGATCTGCTCATCGATTCGGGAATCCGACAGACTAGCTAATTAGTCGGATTCGAAATGATTCGAATGCAAATGGGTTAACGCGGCTAGTTGTGGTAATGGTTCGTGGTAGACTTAATGCTGGTTGCTCACGCACGTTGAGACGTTCAGGCAAGGCCCGTGACTTAAACACGAGCACCATAAACTGTCCAGTTATCGTCGCGTTCCTATCGGTCGCCGTTGCGCTATCGCCGGCATGTTCCACGCGATTCGCCCGATTATTTCGCCCCCTCGAGGAAATACGAGCCCGAATCGTGACTTTCCCTTCGCGAGCTTCGACGCTGTTATCGCGGCCACGATGTAGCCGGAAACTCTGTTTTGCTCGTTCGCCAGGCGGGGATAGTTCCGAGTTTACGAGGCCATCTCGATCCCAGTCAGCTAGATACTTTTTCCTTTTAGAAAGGCACGATTTCCTACGATTTTCATAACATCAAAGTTGCGATACATCAATTTACACCTTCAAGTTTATTGAAAACGTTTCTGAACGCAGCCGAGTTCTCGCAGCGTCATGCAAATTGTATTTTCACAGCCGAGTTGTTCACCTTTTCACTCGACAGACTGTTAGATGCTGCCAGTGTTGAACGTCCAAGCATCTCCTAACGCGTTCAATCTTTTTCCATGAGTCATTCGAATTCCTCCGCATTCTTCCTTCACCGTCATCATCTCGACGTCCCCGTCCCAGCCACGTATTTATTAATATCCGTCAAACATCGGCTAAAATCAATTTCTTCAACCCCTTCTTCAATTTTTCATTCACCAATTGCCCGTAACTTTCTGTTTTAACTGGCGAGTCAAGTGCCGTTCCGAAATCATTGAGAAACCGATAAATTATCTCGGATATAACCACTTTCGAGTCGTTCGAAAATTGACCAATGCGTTCGGGCAATTTTTCTTCGGCGTTGGCCGTGTTCCAAATGTATCTCGAGTCGAGGGAAAAAGAGGCTGATAAAAGCCGCGAAACGCGTCACGTAGAGACGAATGCCGGAAAAGAGGAGAAAACCGGCGAAGAATCAGAAAAGGTAAGATCGTATTCGAGTCACGTAGCGGGAACGAGCAGTAAGTAAGTACAAGGATCACGTTGCGCCAACGTGAGACTCCTTCGCTCCGGAATTCCAGGCCTGCCCTCTTTTGTAACCCCTTATCTGTTCCTGGAGATGCACCCGGAAACGGGCTTTACACATCGGGACGCGCATTCCGGCTCGTACATTCCGAAGGATAATGCTACGTCAAAAGTGTCCACTCGTCGCCGCCGCTCGAGTGGCCGTTATACCTGTTCCAGGTGTGTTCACCCGCTACGAATGACCAACCGAACCGGAAAGTTTCGCCTGGGTGGCATTCGAAAATAATTTAAACGAACGAGACGAGTTATCAATGCAAACGAGACTTTGCACCGATTCCACTCGAGCGATAAAATGATTCATTGGAAGAATCATACTTTGATGGTGTCCCTTGTGGGAAGTGCGATACATCGTTTCCTGTTAACAACGCCATCAAAGTCCATCGTTAAGTAGCCCATTTAGAATTGGTGAGTGGAAAAACAAGTAGCCCCAGATCGAGTTGAATTTCACAAAGCGATTATCATCGTGAAAGATAAAGCTTATCGCTGGACGGATTCATTGTTTGATTGCCAATGGAAGAAATCGGGTTATCGTTGTTCAAAGATTAAAACGGCTGTGTTTTTGTATCGGTACAAGATTTGCGCAATTGCGTAATGGACGAAATATGTAACATTTATTCGTGGAACCGCGATCCATGCAAATTCATCGGAAACACCTTGCAACGATAAACTTTCTCAGCCACCGGATCCATGACTCGTCGAATTTCACAAAACAAAGCGCTACTCGATTCAACTCACCTCGACGGATTCCCTTCAAATTTCCATAAAACCACCTTCGAACGATTAACCAACACCGGTTGACACTAGAAAAACAACACCCACGACGATCTCCACTTGAATATCTTTTATACACCGCGCAAATCCAACGGAACAGTGGCGATATCCCAAGGTGAAGGCGCACAATCCGATTGCACTTTCATTGAAATCGATTACTCAGCGAGATCCAAGAAACGGCCCGTTAAAAATGCAATTTCAACGATCGATTCGTGCACGACGGAGTGTCGAAGCAAATGCATGTAATCGATGGTTGTTGGAAAGGCTGGCAGGAAGCAATTGATTCGAGCAACGAGCTTCAATTGCGTGCTCGAGATCACTATTATTCCAATGGCTGATCGTCGTTTCATGGAAAACAAACTTGTGCAAGGCAAGGAACAGTCTCGATTATTTCCTTGGATATGTCGCAAACTTGCCGAAACCTTTTTCTATCGAATCGGCGCGGCGGCGCGTTTCGATTCGAGTAGAAGCCTGTTGCACGCGAGTAGACGCACTGATACACGCGTTCGGAGACAACGGGGAAACAGGTAGAAGGAATAGCCTTCGTCGGTCGAGCAACAGGTAGACACTGTGGAGAGAGGCGAAGATGGGAATGGAACGAGCCTACCACTCGGATAGACGGATCCGAATGCCGACCAGCGGGACTGCTATGCTCCGTTCTTTAGGCTCTCTGCACAACGGCGCGACAATGGGACTGACGTTTCACTTCCGGTACGCGTTATCGCTTTGTGTACTCGGTGTGGGACGATGTGGGACGGGTTCTGATAACGAGCAGATTTTTCTAGCAGCTTCGTTTTCGAATGATTGCGCTAATTGTTGATTTAGATGATAAAAAGGGGTCTGTTATTTAAGAGCTCCGTTTCGCGAGAATTTCGCTCCGTAACGGAGTTTACGAAATCTAGGAGAGAAGTCATCTGTGCTCCCTTATCGAGCTTATTAATCATTCAACGAGCGTAACGTGGTTGCATTGAAATGGAAAGAAGGTATCGCGCAATTGTACGTAACGGGAAGGTTAACAAATTGTCACAGATCGACTCGAATTACGATTATCCTGTAATCTGTCTGTGCAAGTGTCGGACCGCGTCTCGACTTTACGTCTCTCTTTCAACAATTATGTAACCGACGTTTTCGTTCACCGACGCAGCGAGAAAACTTTTCTAAGTCGCTTGAAAATCTGATGAAATTTTCTTCGTCGCTACCTTTCAGATCGCTATCTTACTTTAATAGAAAGCAAACACGCCCGGTCACGTATGCGAACTCTCTTAATTGAATTTCTCACTGGCCTGTTACACTGCCATTACCTAGAGTAATAAAACGGAGCCTAGTTTTTCTATGTTACGATCACGAAATTACACGAATAATTAACCTCCGGTCAGAAGGCGATTATTTTAATTTACCAACGAAACGTTTTCACGTTCTGGTAAACTATAAAAGAAACCTCTTTCATAATTCTTAGAACGCTACGATATATCAATTTAGAAGCTAAGTACCAGATTTTTTTTATCAATTCTTCAAACGAACCTCTCGAGGACTAAATTCGTTCGTTCCACGAGGAACAGAGTAGTCGATTGTTAAATATTTTTTGTTCTTCTTAATATTTGTGACTTAAAATTTCGAGTTGGAAGAAATCGAATATTCGTTGGTCAGCACTGGATTCAAAGAACGGACGATAAAAAGATCGGAGGGGTGCCCGGGTCAGTGTTCTTGTTGTGAATGAAGCCGTACTCGAGCAGGATCGTAGTGGGGATACTTCAATCATCGCAATGAATTACAACGAGCCAGTCACCGAGAGTGACTCACTACGTGGCTGCTCTAGGCGATACAGTACGATAAAGCCTCTTTTTCTTAACCTCCTCGTGGCGAAGGAATTCGTGCTAAGGCACCTCGATGGATCCTCGATGGATCCATTATGAATCATCGCGGAGGTTAAAATCATCTTCAATCGCGAGACTTTCGACCGATTGAACCGGTGAACCCTGAGGTAACGGAGTCTCTGGTGTTTTTATTAATCGAAGGTTCGCCTCTTCAAGTTCAACACTCTTCTAGAGATTTAATGAATTCGAGTCCAGTCAGTTTCCCACAGAATTGAAATAACTAATCTCGAATTTGAATTCTCTAGTTGCGAGGAGTGAATTTTTGAAAAGTAGGACTCGTCGAGTTCTCAGCAAGATTCTAAGCTACTTTGTCCTCCATTGAATGCTAATTTCGGCATATCGGGTACCGTAATGAAATTCGAGGGCGGAATTTCCAGAGTTAGTTGACAGTCGTGAAAAAAAAATCAGATTTCACGTGAGTTAGGTTCTAAGTAACTTCTATGAGTTTCTTTTATTTTTCTTTTTTTTTTTTCTTCTTTTAAGGGGCGCTCTCTTCGCATACCGTGCCAATTATTCGTTGCACGGAAGTTCCACGGCCTGGCGTGAGAGATTGATGCAAGTCGATGCACTGTGCGTATGTTTTATTCATACCTTTCACCGGGACCGATAAGAAAATTATATTTAAACCGGCGCCCCGTAACGTCGCGGGAAAAGAGAAAACTGACTCTCGATCCCTCCTCCTTAATTCTAACCAGTTCGAAATAAATTAGGATTAAAGGCATTCGAAGATTTTTACGAAAGAATTTCGATAAAGCAACCAACGGAATCGTAGGTTTTCTATTTTTCTTATTATTATTCCGAGTGGAAGGAAGCCGTGGCGAGGGCTTTGCTCCCGATTCGTCGCGGTAACTTTCTCGGCGCGGAATGAAAACGCTTCGCGAGTGCATGGGAAGCGTGTAACGCGCGTTGCGCGGCCGCGATCTGTGCAACTAATTAGCGATCGTGGGCATGGATCAAAGGAGTGTACGAGTTATTATCCCCAGGAAAGTTCGATTCCACGAATCGATCGATGAAACGAGATTATTTTTCTACCCGCCTTCCTCGAACAACCACTATCGTTCAAATAAAATTCTCTTAATCGTAATAGAAATCGGTAATGTATGCCATTGTAACCGTAACAGGGGGTCGTTTCTCGTTGAATCAGCATCGATTACGAAACGTTCGTGACTCGATCGTGCAGAGAATAACGCGAACTTTGCCACGTTGAACGATGTTGCATTAAAATTCTACTAGAACAGTCATAATAGCGCGACAAAGCGTCGAGATAAGGCACTGCCAAGGTCTGAACGATTTTATGATTAACACGAAACAATGAGTCGTAAATCCCTTTATCACAGCATGCGATTTATTCGCTTCAGAAGATGACTACTTATTGCAAGACGCACACGGTGCGTCGGTGCGTATAAGTGTGTCACTGGAACGCGTTAATTTCAATTGAAACATGCAAATAAACGTTTTCGTAAGACTCGCAATGGCGGGAAGAAAAAAGTGATTTGGATGGATTTATCGGAGATCGAATATTACACGTTGTAACAGTTCCACGGTAGTTTTCACGGATCGTGCTAATAAAGTATCTCGTTCGCGTGGTTATACTGTTATTTACGAGTATTATTTAACGCCGCCGCGAAATGGATATGAAACTATAATTTTGCATCGTTTAGTCGACGTTCTTGATCGCTGGCTAGCGGAGGCGTGTTCCGCCTCGGCTCGATTCCGCTCGCGTGAAAAAGCTCCGCGGGTATATTTATAACCGTGCTGGATATACTTTCCACGCTGGAGACTTATCGTCGAAACACCCCCCGACCCTCGACCCACTCGAAACTGGTGCACCAAGCGGTTTCGAGTTGATCGAAACTCGAATTCGGTGAAATTCATTAGTCGATCAAGGTGCACCCGAGTTTCACCTCGTACCTGCAAGAGGAATCTCGCGATGACGATTCTTTTCCCGTTTTACTCTTGGCGCCAGCCACGAAGTAGGCCGCCGTACCAGCGAGAGGGTTTGCCTTTCAGCGACGCTATTAAAGTGGAAATTTGTCGAGAAATCTCCAGGGAGGTTGCGTGAAATCACCAAGTAACATAGCGATCCTGTGGAAACGGCGCAACCTGATTACGGAATTGATATTCCAGGCGTGAAACGATCGCTTACAAGCGGGCCGAATCGGCGAGGAATCCCTCGGTTCGAACCTGTTATCAGAAGTCCGGACAGGTTCGCATAACCGAACGCGGGGACGCGTTAGCTCGTAGCTTCTCCCAGAAACCGTGGCAGCGCCGGCACAGATCGGAGCGGAAAAATGCGCGCGGAATAATGCGTGCAGCAGGACGGCGCCAGTGCTCGGCGCCCGGCGTCCATCTCCTTTCCTCTTCGACGACTCGCGGCGAAGAGCGTCGATCGTCTGGACTTCTCGAGAGTGGGGAGTGGCGCCGTTCAGGGAGGATAAAAAGGAGGGAAAGAGTGGAAGGGGTACGGATAGAACAGTGATTACAGAGTCCCTCTTTTACCACACCTCGCCACTGGTAAATGAAAAGGCACAATTTTCGCTCCCTTTGATTCTATTCTTTCAGAAATCAGTCAAAATCAGTACGTCCGGTCTTTTTTTATCTCTATTCACCGCATTGAATAAGAGTTCAGATAAAGAAGACGAAGAAGTATGAAAATAGAAGATGAAATGGTAAAAGGAAAGATAAGGGAGAAGAAATAAGAGAGGTGAGAAAATGATGGAGACGCAGGGAAAAAGGAAATAGACGAAGGAAACAGGAATAGCGAGCTAGAAAAGATGGAGGAATAATTGAGAATAAGTGAAAAAAAATCAGCATTCTTTCATTTCAAGATAGGCATAATCGTTTTATCTCAACAATAATGTTCATTGTAAAGATGGAGTTGTGTAACGATTAGGTCACTTTAAATTTCGAAACCATTAGAGCGTGGGTGAGACGATGCTCTCGTAGGAATTAAATGGGTTCAATGAAGATAAGATAAATTTGAAGGGACCTTCGCGGCCGAGATACGAAAATTGTTCTAAGAATAGCTTCTCTAATCAAAGTCAAGTTCACTCGATGACAAGATAGCCAAGAAATTCAGACAATTTTCTTACTTTTAGGGGGAAAAAAAAGAATTTTCATTGTTAGTCCACGTACCATTATCACCGTGTAATTTAATATCCTTTCACGTGGAAACGAGCTTTCAAGGAGTCGTAAAGAAAAGTAACAAAGTGACTTAACACATCCCATAACAAACACAAATTACCAACATAAATTCAATTCACGAGATATTAACTACCCGTTTACCCAACGTTTCGTATACAACTTTCTACATAGAACAAGAACACCCCACGAAACCGATGTATACTGTCACCTTATTTCACCGCGTATCGTCTGAAAACTTTCCACCGATTTCAAAAAGGAATCCCGTCCCGTTCGTCGACCGATGAGAACCTAAATCCAACAATCCCGTACACATAATGAAAAGTAAAAACCAGAAAGTGGCGGCAACGATTGGGAAATTCGTCTGTTCCGGCTATCGAGTAACACGATCGCGCATACCAATTCGAAGACCAGAAGCGTTTTACGAGCCGATGGAGATCTGTCAAGGGAAAGGGCTCGTCACTTTCACCGCGATAATCGTACTTGGACATAATTGACTCCAAGATGCATCGCGGATAAAAGAGGATGGCTGACGACGAAAATAACTCTCGATTCGATTTTTTATCCGTCTTCTCGCCATTGGTTTCCAAAAAAGGACACAAAAGGTACCCACAGCAGAGGAGGCGTGTCGTTAACCCACAATTTTTAAAAGCCGGTCACCTCTTTCCACCTGAATACCCGTCCGACAAGTAGACCGTCTTTCCCCTGCAGGCGCAACACACCAACCGAGCTGCTCTTTTCAACGAGGGGGTCTAAAGTGTCCTCGGTGTCGAAGAAATTTTTATAAATTTCCTAGAAACATTCTGACGTATCTGTGTCGCTAATGTTAACCTCGAGATGATAGATGATCACTTTAGAAACACTCTGTATATTGTATTCTGCCAGGCAATTACGCGAATAATATACATACATCGAGGCTGAAAAGTTCGTCGAATGCAGCTGGCAGGAAGGCGAATCGTTCGAAGGGAAACAAGAGAATTTATTAGGGGCTCGTTCCGGGTATTTATTAAATATTCCAGTTAGAAGCTGGCTGGACAGCGCGAGCAGTAAAAATTACATTCGAACGGACGCGACGTTTCTAATTGCCGTATTTATTGAACGTAACGTCGAAAGTGCTGAAAGACCCATTGACAAGTAACCAGGGTATTCGTGAATTCCTGCTAACAAGCGGGAATAACTGAGTACG